TCTAGGCTAAAGCTGGGTCTCGGAAACTAGTCCTTGGTGAAAAAGTCCAGTACTTTGTAAAAAATATACTGAAAGCAGTTTGCATATGATTTCAAGCTTGTTGGCCTGAAATCAAGTGCTATAGTATTGTTTTAGTATTCCTCTTGTCTTGGACTTATTTTGTCATTCATCCCATTAAATTTTGTCTCCGGTCTCAACTAAGATCAACAACTTTTTTGAAATACTTATATGTACTTCTATTTTCTTTCTCTTAACTGTCACCAACACTTACTGACTCATACTCCAAACCTAACTATTGAATCTGTTTGTGTTTGATTTGGTCAATTCAAATAATGAATCTCTTCTTCTGTTTTTGGCAGCTACATGTATCTATTATACAGTGCAACTACCCAAAGACGAAGGCCCTACTTACGCTACTGTGAGCTTCCAGAAGAATCCAGATTCTTGTAGCAATAGCACAGTCACTTACATTAAGGAGGAATCTGCTACTGAGTATGCCACAGTTAAGCACAGCCCAAGACTAGAATGACCTGCTGATTCCTGTTGGACTTATCACTCTACATTGCAAAGCTGCAGACCAAGGTTGTGGCACAGTGCACAAGATTAGAGAAGGTGGATTTTGTGAGGAGTGAGTCTGGACCCCAACCTAGGATGTGATGTTTGGAATTTATTTGGGATTTTGAATATTCTCATTATAAAGCTCCTAAAGGCCATGTTCATAAAGTGGAACCACTGATGCCACAGATAAAACCATCCCAAGTAAGCTGGACTGGCTCCTATGAAGTATATATTACTAGAGCTTGTGTGACAGGCATCTTCTTGTCAATGTAAACATGCACTGTTATAGAAGAGTAATAAATGACTACCAGCAATGGATTAGTTAATCTTGGGTCCCTGGACATGGACCTCTCCCAATCCCAACTTAAGCATACAAGAATACAATCCATACAGTAAAAGGAAACAAGTATTCAACATTTTGTTTTTGTGATTTAATACACTTTCAGTGCATATACAGGAATAAGGAAAAGTATGTACCTGGGTGTACCTGCTTTAATTCTATGTTGTAAGGGCCTAAAGGACAATTGTGTAGTTCCATCCAACCTCTATAAAAAACAAATAACCTCAGGTGACAACAGAAAAGCATAACAGATTTCAATATATAGTCATTTTGTTCCAAAAAGAAAACCAACATCCAGAAACCTCAGAAAAAATAAGTATGCCCTATAATTCAGTAACATGTAGAACCATCTTTAGCAACAATAACTTTAAGTAAATGTAAATGTAAACTAAAGCAATGTTGTAAAGAAGAGTGGGCCACTCCTACGGAAAACGTTTACAGAAAACGTTTATTTTAAGGTCTTGTTGCTGAAGGTGGTTCTACATGTTACTGAATTATAGGTTGTACTTATTTTTTCCACCTTCTTTATGAAAAAAAATACAACAGATTTCAAAATGTTTTATTGTTGTTGTCACCTAAGGTTATTTGTTTGCTTATAGAAGTCAGTGAGAACTACACAATTATTATTTAGGCCATACAAAATAGTAACATAGAACAGAGTGAGGGTGTATTGTCTTTTCCTCATGTCAATCCACAATGTCGGGGGTGTAGTCAGAGAGGTGTCCTGTGTGGCTCTGGCTTCCTCTGAAATCGGATTGGCCACCTTGAGTGCCATAACTTTTTTCACATAACTGTCTGATTACACTTCCTCCCACTCCACTGGGAGACATTTAGCTTATGATAACTGATAGAGCAAAACAAAAGCATCTTGCAAAACTGCAGCTTGTCTGTAATGTTTTCCCCAACTGAAAACTAAAAACCAAGACTGAAGCATTTACTAAGCATTCACTCTTAAAAAAGATGGTTCTTGAAAAAGTTCTTTAGTAAAGAAAATGGTATATAGCCATAAACACTGAAAGAACCCTTTGCATAATGTGCTGTAGATGATTCTATATATTCTCAGCACTGCAGTCACACTGACGTGGTGGTGGTGTGTTAGTGTATGTTGTGCTGGTCTGAGTGGATCAGACACAGCAGTGCTGCTGGAGTTTTTAAACACCTCAGTGTCTCTGCTGGACTGAGAATAGTCCACCAACCAAAAAATGTCCAGCCAACAGCGTCCTGTGGGGCAGCGTCCTGTGACCACTGATGAAGGACTAAAGGATGACCAACACAAACTGTGCAGCAGCAGATGAGCTATCGTCTCTGACTTTACATCTACAAGGTGGGACTGACAAGGTAGGAGTGTCTAATAGAGTGGACAGTGAGTGGACATTGTGTGTTTAGTGTTTAAAAACTCCAGCAGCACTGCTGTGAGGACACCAGTTACAGCCAGTCATGTGGGCCTTTACCAGTGCTGTATAGTAAATCAAATGTTCATTTCAGATGTCTAATAGGCAAACATTGTGGTCACAACAAGGCAGATTTTGCACTGAACTTTTGTGTTTTCTTATCACTGTTTCTGTCTCTTCTCAGATTTATCACTCTGCCAATGGCTATGAGGAGATTAGTGACACCAGAGCTGCTCCACTTTACTATATGGTCCAGCTACCTACAGTTGCCATCTATGCCTTTAGAATTCTAATAGACCTTCACAGAAGTGTTTGCTGCCATGCTATAGAACAAGTGTTTAAAAACAGTGTTTAAAAACTCCAGCAGCACTGCTGTGTCTGATCCAGTCATACCAGTGCAACACACACCAACACACCAACACACCACCACCATGTCAGTGTTACTGCAGTGCTGAGAAAGATCCACCACCCAAATAGTACCCGCACTATGAGGGCCCATGGGGGTCCTAGCCACTGAAGAACAGGGTAAAAGGGGGCTAATAAAGTATCAGAGAAACAGATGGACTACAGTCTGTAACTGTAGAACTACAAAGTGCACCTCTATAGTAAGTGGAGCTGCTAAAATGGACAATGAGCGTAGAAACAAGGAGATGGTTATAATTTTATGCCTGATCGGTGTGTATATACTGTATATATAGTGTCATTTTCATTGGTTTTAGCTAACAGAAGATGGTGTTTATTTATAAGTGTGGGTGTGGATTGAGCGCAGACGTGTCACTTAAGGATGCACATCTGTTCAAGACTGACAAAGAAGAGAAAGAGGAACAAGCCACAGAGAGAGAGAGACAGATATGAAGAAGGAAGTACATTATTTTCTTTCTAGACAAACAACAGCAACTTGACCTGCACCAGCTGAAGCTTAGTTCAGAATGAAAATCATCATCACCTTTTGCCTGATCACAGGTGAGTCATCTATTTTAACCTAATACTCTTTATTGAGCCAATTAGTCCAGTTTGATACTTTTAAAGTAACTGAAGTTTAAAGTTGCCTTCACACTCGTTTTCTAAGCTTATTGAAATTACCAAGAATTTGTTTTTGCTCATAGGTCTAGTGAGCAGCATTGATGTGACTGGCTACTCTGGGGGTAGTGTCATTATGGTCATTAGAGAATGGCAGGACAATCCAAAGTATATTTGCAAGTTGGCAGAAAATGTCTGCAAAAATAAATTTAATTTTAATACCCAAAAAGTCCCTGTTAATGAAGGAAGGTTCTCACTGTATAAAAATACACAAGGATTGTTCACAGTGTTAGTCAGAGAGCTGAACCCACAGGATGCTGGAATATACAAGTTTGTTTTGGAGAATCACTGGCGTCAGGAAATTAACTTGAACATGAAGAAAGGTAAGAAAACACAAATAAAGCACAGAGAAATTCATTTTTAATTCCATTTTATACATGTATATAATGACCTATTTTTATGTTTGACAGATGCTTGTTGTGTGAAGTCAGTGACAATGACTGGACATCTGAACAAGGACATCAGCATCAGTTGTGACTATGCAGAGGAGCATAAGCTAAAAAGGAAGTATTTGTACAAACTGAAAAGTCACTCAGCTGATATGGTGATTTATACTTTTCCTGGTAGAAACTACGAGAAAAACAATTTTTACATCTTTGATGATCAACATTCAAACCTTTTCACTGTGAACATCCATCATTTGAAAAAAGAGGATGGTGGGGTTTATTTCTGTGGTGTACAGACTAGTGGACGCCTAATCAACATCAGCTCTACAATCAAAACTGTACATTTACGTGTTGCTGGTGAGAAGCTTATACCATGACTATTAGAGCTAGGCCTTCAGTTTGGGCCATAAATGTCAAATCTATATGACATTGTTAATTTCTGCAAGACTTTCTATGGGATTTCAAATATTTTGTTAGGGCTAAGCTAACAGTCATGCACATGAACATTTTTTGGCTGTTGTAGATTAAATATAGACTTTTGAAGCTTGTAAAAGGTTTCTCCGAAGCATGTAACAGACAATCTTCTGTATTAGCCATAATACCACAGTTTTACATTCTTAATAACTGACTGAAACGTGGCTAGACTATGACTTGTATTCTCAGGCATAACAAGAACTTCCAGAAGATCTAGAGCTAATTTTGTTCATGAAATTATAAATTACAACATGATTAGTTTTACTTTTTTTTTTTCAAATTCTGAAGGCCTAAAATGTTCTTCTAATGGCTACATATATGTATATGATTTGTGTTTGATGTTACAGATAAAGTTCCAAGTTCAGTTAGAGTGACTGGCTTCTTAGGAGGACGCATCATGATGAAGTGTCGACACCCTCTGGAAAACCCTAGAGCCAGATTCCTCTGTAAGGAAACACAAGAGGAATGTCCAGAGAAGACATACACCAATGTCCAGAATGAATGGCAGCAGAATGGAGGATTTTCTCTGTATGACGACACCAGTGGAGAGTCCTTAATGGTGTTCTTCAGAAATCTGTCAGAAGGGACCTACAGGTGTGGAGTGGACATATCAGAGTTTACTGAGGAGTACATGGAAGTGAAAGTGGAGGTGAAGGAAGGTAAGAAATGGTAAAAAAAAATAAAGGTTAGAAATTATCTCTTATGATTGTGTACACATGCAAAATTTGTGAAAATCTTTGTTCATGTCATATTTATATTGATAATCTTCAGATCCTTGTTGTGTGAAGATCATCTCGCAGGCTGGTTATATTGATGAAACTCTCACAATCAGCTGTGAACACCCACCGATACTCAGAGCCAATCTAAAGCACTTCTGCAAAGAGGACGAGAAGCTCATCTGCCAAGACATCAGAGCTGCAGGGAAATATTCGTTATCTGACCACAGCCAACCAGGACTCTTCACAGTGACCATCAGCAATCTGACCCTCAGTGATGCTGGAGTGTACTGGTGTGGAGTAGAGACCAGAGAATGGAATATTAGTCACACTTCCCTGACCACAAAAGTGCAAATCAGTATTATCTGTAAGTTAATAAGCCTTTTTGATCTAATACATTTTAATTGATATAGCAAACAAATATGATCTCTTTTATTTTCCTGATTTCAGCCAGCAAAGTGATCGGAAGTGAAGGAGATGCTGTTGAGATCAGATGTCCTTATGACTCAAAGTATAAGCAGAATTCAAAGCATGTCTGTAAAGACGAGTGTTTTACTGAACACAGTGATTCTCTAACTGCTCAACAGTCGACTCAAAACAAGACAGAGAGATTCTCTGTACATGATGACATCACGGCTGGAGTCTTTAGTGTGAATATCAGCAGAGTGACAGCAGAGGATGCTGGGAGATACTGGTGTGGAGTGGAAACAGGAGACGTCTTGATGAATTATCTCTCCACTGAACTGCAGGTCGTCAGGAAAGAAAGTGGTACATGGGGGTCTTGCTTTTGTGTGGTCAAGTCTTAATATGAAATGTATGGAAGGTTATATATTGTTTCATTTGTTTTTAGTGCTTCAGGTCTTTGGACAAGAAACACTCAGTGTCTCCATCAAGTGCAGCTACAGAGGAGAGTCTACAGAGAGTGATGGGAAATTCCTCTGCATGGGGCAGCAGCTGTCCAGCTGTGAGAAAGGTGGAGTCAAAGTTTCATCAGAGAAAAACAGAACTGGCAGATTCTCTCTGAGTGATGATGCCCCTGCTGGAGTCTTCACTGTGACCATCACAGATCTGAGAGAGGAGGATTCTGGGACGTACTGGTGTGGGGAGGAAAGCTTTGGATCCACCATCTACACCGAAGTGCATCTGCATGTTTCCAAAGGTAAACTGTAAAAAGGTACAATTTGCAGACAACTTTTGGAGTTGTCTTAAAATTGTCTAGTTAAAAGTTCTTCCAACTCTCAGTTAGGTCAGCAAATGTGAGTCTGACTCAGAGTCTGACTCCTGAAAGATTTTGAACATTTTTTTAAAATGATTAAATGATTCTGATGATTTTTGCTGAGAAATGAAAATGAGCCAAAAAATGAATTATATTTAAAAAATTGGGGCATTTATGTTTTTCTACGAGTTTTATGTGTGCTTAGCCTTAAGGAAAATTAATCATCAGCATTTTTTTTCAATTTTTTGTTCAGTTAAAACATTTGTGCATACCCTTTTATTTATTTATTTTGTTGTTGTTTTATTTTGTTTTGTTTTTAAAGAATCCTGCATGTTGTTTTTACTATTTCATTACTTACAAAACGCATCTTGTTTATACAGTTACTCTGTCACTATCAATGACTCATGGGGTTTATACAACAGGACACTTTTCATACCCAATGAAAATTGCAGAAAACAAAGAAAGTTAAAGCAAGAGGTCAGCTGTGTTTCTCAGTGAGTGTTTTAATAAGACTACTGTTTAAACATTTGTCCTTGACCTGAAAGAGTGGCAAGAGAGAGTGATTAAAAATGAAACCAGATGGAAAATGACAAAGGAAATCAGAGCAGGGGGCCAAGGTTAGCAGAGAGGGGTTTGTGGTTATCTGTGTTTGAGAAATATAGAAGTGAGAAAGAGAACAACAGAGCTCTGTTCAGACTAGAAATAGGCCTTTAAAGTCATCCTGAAATCAAAATAGACCTGTTTTTACCTTGATACTCTATGTCAGGGGTGCACAACTCTTGTCCTGGCTGGTGTCTAGCACAGTTTTGGAGTTCTCCTAATCACATCAGGGTCAAACACTTCTTTGGGGCAGTCGTGGGCTGGAGGTTAGGGAACCAGCTTTGTGACCGTAATGTCGCCACTTCGATCCCCTGAGTCGACAGTACATGACTGAAGTGCCCTTGAGCAAGACACCTAACCCCCAACTGTTCCCCGGGCGCTGTGGATAGGGCTGCCCACCGCTCCGGGCAAGTGTGCTCACTGCCCCCTAGTGTGTGTGTTCACTAGTGTATATGTGGTGTTTCACTGCACAGATGGGTTAAATGTGGAGGTGAAATTTCCCCGTTGTGGGTCTAATAAGGGTCACTGAATCTCAAACACATCCACTAAACCTTGCAGTTAAAGATGATTGAGAGTGATTTTGCAGAAACTTGATAGTTTTTGAAAAATTCCAACAGAAAATATCACACCCCCTACTTCCAAAGCCACTCCTCCAGTATGCAGATGGCCTATGAACATATACCTGCACAGATAACATAAAAGATAAACATAGCTAGCTTTAAACTATAGCTTAGCTAACATTAGCATTGGACTAATACATAATGTAAATACAGTGGAGCTTGAAAGTGTTATGGAAATTGTATTAATTCAATGTATTTGCTTTATTGCTTGCAGAGCGTAAGACTATGTACGGGCAAAAGGTCATGGACAAAACACGCTGTCCTCTGACTGATAGACGTGCTTAGCTGTCTAGACACAAAAACAGGATGCATCTTCATACAGTGATTGACCTCAGTCACCTGTCCTACACCCCCCAATACTTCTGCTTTCATAAGATATTCTAGGCAGGGCATCTCTGGTCATGCACATACAGCATGACCTGAAGATGCTGCATGTGCTCACAACCTTATATGGCTATATTAACAGAAATCTGCCGAAGACTGATAACAACAGTGGTCAAACCTCCCCTTATTTGGTATCCAGCCAACACCTAGTTTAGAGTATAAAAACCCTATGTAAGGGAGACTGGCTCAGAGCGTGCTCTCATCTCTTCACTCTCTGATCTGTATCACTTTCATTTTCTAAATAAATACTGTTGCATATTCAAAACTTGTGATTCATTCTGTTGTCAGGATTTCCGTGACAAAACTTTGGGAATTCCCAAGACACAAGTTTGTGAACACTTTAGAATTTTCTACATTTCTGCATAAATTTGACCTAAAACTCCATCAGATTTTCAGAAGTCCTAATAGTAGATAAAGAGAACCAAATAAAACAAATGGTCATTTATGTATCGAGGAAAATTATCCAATATTACAGATCTGTGAGTGGCAAAACTATGTTAACCTTTGCTTTCAGTATCTGCTGTGACCCCCTTGTGCAGCAATAACTGCAACTAAACATTTCTGGTAACTGTTGATTAGTCCTGCACATCGGCTTGGTGGAGTTTTAGCCCCTCCATACAAAACAGCTCTGTTGATGGGTTTCCTCCCATAAACTGCTGCTTCAGGTCCTTCCACAACATTTCCATAGGATTAAGGTCAGGACTTTGACTTGGCCAATCCAAAACATAAACTTCTTTAACCGTTCTTTGGTAGAACAGCTTGTGTGCTTAGGGTCGTTGTTTTGCTGCATGACCCACATTCTCTTGAGTTTCAGCTCACAGACAGATGTCCTGACATTTTCATTTAGAATTTGCTGATATAATTCAGAGTTCAATTATGGCAAGCTGTCCTGGCCCAGATGCAGCAAAACAGGCCCAAACCATGATACTAGCACCACCATGTTTCACAGATAAGTTTATATGCTGGAATGCAGTGTTTTCTACAAATATAATGCTCATTTAAACCAAAAAGAACTATTATGGTACCGAAGAGTGGATAAAGAAGAATAAAGTTAAAGTTTTGAAATGGCAACGTCAAAGTCCTGACCTTAATCCTATAGAAATGTTGTTTAATTCCATCACCAGCACTTCTGATTTTACATCATGGAGTACTGATTAGACAAACCAGGTATTGAATGATCACCACAACTAATACTGGGCTACTATAAGGAGAGCTTTGGGAATGGTTAAACGAACACATTGACATATGTAATGTTACTACATATTGTATACATGTTTGTATTTATTCTAATATTTGTGTTTTTCACATGAAAATAAATGCTTACCGCTCAAATAATGCTTTTTTTTAAATATAATTTTCTCAGGTGCCTAAAGCATTACTATAGCAAGTGATTCCAAACTTTTGAACAGACGTTTATGTCTCAGCTTGCATGTTATTGATGAACCTGCATATTTTTAGATGAATGTTATGCTGTGCATAACATTCCCAGTCTTTCTGTTCTTGTCTGTTTTTTCAGGTCCTGTTCCATCTGTGATCATCACTGTGTGTGTCTGTGTGGTTCTACTGCTGATTGGAGGATCAACACTGATCTACTACAAACTGAAACACAAAAAAACACAAGGTTCAGACTCTCACATACATTCATACACTCACATGCTTAAAGTGGTCTTCATATTGTACCACAGCAGAATGTTTATTCTATTATTATTAAATGCCATAGCTGAATATGCATTTCTGAATATGCAGAATAAGCTGAAATCTAAAGCATCAAATCTGTGTTCTAGAGCTCTTGAACATGAATTAAACCCAGTACTGGACAAATCAACTACGCCAGTGATGAAAAAGTGTTGAGTCCTTTTAGAAATATTAAGTCTAGGCTTTTCTGGGTGTAGGAAATGTGCCATAGGTTAAACCTAGAGTTTCCTTCCAGTGTATGACTGTGTACTGAACAGGCTTGGAGACAACTTAAATCTAAAACTCAATTCTGCGTTTCAAAACTAAGTTGTTGAGTTTTAGCTGAATTCCACAACTTAAAACCTCCACTTTAGAACTAAAAGTGTCGACTTTAGAGTAGAAATAAAAGTATGGAGTTCAAACTGATTTCTAGAACTCCAAAAAAAGGTTTTTATATGAGGTGCACAGCATTTTCCAAAATCTGTTGGGATTTCTGGACTGAAACATTAAGCCTCTATAAGTTTTTTAGAATAGTGGTATCCCCCTTTAAGAAGATATTGCTATCTGGAGAAACAAAACTAGTCTTTGACTTTGTCCTAATCAATCAAATAACAATAGTGATAATAGGTGGGGGCTGGTGGGAGGTGAAACATGATATTATTGGTCAGTATTACTCTCTCTGCCTGCTGATGCACGGTCACGTAATACAAAATCAGAAGACATTTTAGAGACGGGCAAAAGTCATCACATTTTGTTGGAAGAACTGCGCTTAATATGACCAAAGACATGAACTAATAAGATCAAAAAGGACAATTTTCAACATTTTCATGTAGGGAAAAGAAGCCGATTGATTTCAGAGAATGATCCGATTTATATTACTGTGATTGGTCATGTGACTTTTGCCTTGTTCCACAGGCTCCTCCTCTTCAAATAGGAGAGATATAACAAACAATGATGGAGTGAGTATGTTTTATCATGCTTTTTGTATGCAGTTTTGTGAACATGTGTTGCTTTGCAGATCTTGTCAATCTCATTTGTTCTCAGGTTTCTCCTGCGGCCTGTGACTATGAGGAGATTAATCACAGCGGACAGCATCCTGACACCAACGTTTATATGAACACTTCATCATCCACTGACCGCTCTGATAAGAACAAAGGTAACATCCAAAATACAGCAAATGATCTACAGCAAGATTGGAGCTGGTTTCCCAGACATGGATTAAGCCTAGTCTTGGACTAAATTGGAATGTCAATAGCCATACACATCACCCTCACATTGAACACCCCCCCCCAAACACAGAACACACTAACAGTATAACAGTATAACGTATTACACAAATACAACTTTTTTTTTTTTTTTGGATTTTAACCCAATTATTTCCCCAATTTAGTCATCACCAATTCCACCCGCTAGTTAGGACTCTCCCAATCACACGATACTATCAACGCTAGGAGGATGAAGGCTAACACAAGCTTCCTCTGAGACCTGTGAACCGCCACCGCATCTTTTCAAACTGCCGCTCACGCAACGTCATTGGACAGCTGAACGCATTCAGAGGAAAGCGCCAACCGCCAGATCTGTTACGTCAGCTAACAGACACCTGCGCTGACTAGTGTCGCGTTGAGTGATGGCGGAGAAGGAGGGGCCATCCTACCCACCCAGAGAGAGCGAGTCCAATTGGGCTCTCTTGGACTCCCGGCTACGGACGGCTGTAGCACCACCAGGGATTGAACTCGCGATCTCCTGATGATAGGGCCAACGCTTAGACGGTTGTGCCACTCAGGAGCCCCCATACCACATATCTTTAACTGACAAACAACAACATAATCAACGCAAATATTCCCTTTTCTGGAGTGTGTGCACCTCCCATGATCCTCCTGGTGCAGCCATTAGCATGGCCAAGCCTCAAGAGCTTCTGGAGGCCAACGCTAGCCAGTAGTGGGTCACTACAATAGAGGTTACCCATTGGAAATTCTAACCTAGGATTAAGCTGGGTCTTGGAAACTGGTTCTTGGACAAAAAAATCTAGTCATATGTAGAAATCTATGGAAAGCTGTTTGCAAGCCCATTGGTCTGGAAGCTAGTGCTGTTATACTGTTGCAGTATTTATTACTTTCTCAAACCTTTCTCAGTCCCAGCCATTTGTCTCACCAAATTTATCTCAACTGAGACCAACTACTGTTTTTTAAAAATACTTTCTTTTGTCACCACATAAGCTACTCAAAACCAAATCATTGCATCAATTTGGATTTGATTTAGACAATTCATTATATAGCTTAATGTAACTTAATCTATGTAATTACTTATGTAATTATAAAATTTCATTTAAACAGTACAGGAAAATAAATTAATAACTCTGCAATTCCAAACATTAATTCTGATTCTCACTTTTAAACAATTTGAAAAGACCAAGAAATGGCAGTAGACTGGAAGTAGTTATAGACTTGACTTGGTCTTAGCCCCTTTTGACTTGATCAAGACTATTCATGGTCTTGGACTTATTTTGGACTCCACCATTTGTTGGTGACCTTTGTTGTCAAGGTGGCCCATGTTAATCATGCCATGTCAACTAGCTCTTCCAAAGACCTTCCATCATTTGCTGTTTTGTTGATTGGTGTGGCAACTAGTATCCAGCTCCACACTCTCCCACCAACATCCTGACGTATAGCTGGATTGAAATCCTGAGAATAGAATACATTGATTACATGGTCATCAATTCATTTACTGACCAGTAGGGGTGGGAATCTCTAGGCACCTCACGATTCGATTCGATTACGATTCTGAGGGCTGCGATGCGATTATAAAATGATTATCCATGCATCTCGATGCATCTTTTTTTTATATACAGGATTTCTATTTTCTCACTGTGTGAGGACTTGGTAATGTTAAAGCAAAGTATTTGTTATGATCCATAATGAATTTACTTCCAATATCTTTTATTAATAAATGAAATGGAAGTGATGTGGCAAGTGAACTAGAAGGCTCTCATTCAGTGCTCTGCTTTGGAGCACATGAGAGGCTGCTGCCACTCATCTGCGATAAAATGCACAGTTATAGTGAAATAAGATCCAGTAGCAATGGATGACCAAGCAGCGTTTTTACTGACTTTATAACTTTGGGTTTGGTCTCGTTGTAGAGACGGGGGGGTCGCTGTGTCAGTAAAATATCTTCGAGATGGGACGTGTGCAACATAGAGCGAAAGCCCTGTTTTGCAACGACTGAGAATTGGCGTGCAGACTGCAGGTCACATAGCAACGATGCGTTATTCGCATTTATAATCACTGCAGTTGGTTTCCTGGTATGTTAAATCTGCAATGAGAGACTGTCAAACACTAAAAAGTTGTGAAGATGAAGTCGCTTCTCTTTCGAATTTTCCCATTAAATGGTGTCGCATTTACATTCTGCACCTCAGGCAGAATTTAAGCTGGAACGGGAAAATTTGAACGAGAAGCTGGCGAATGAGAAGCGACTTCAGCCTCGTAAAACAGTTGACCATTGAGAGACATTTTACAATAAGCTGCTCTACTTTTGAGGAAAAGTTTCCTGAGGGAAAGGGTAGGAAAACGGCTATATTTAAAGCTTAAATCAGAGCAAAGTAAATCTGCGCTCTCATTTATATTGTTTAGTCTATACTAGGACATTATCACATACTGAGACACACTGGATATTAAATGTTGTGGCTCCCAAGTGGTTTGATTTTTGATGAAAGGACAAAATGTCTCTTCTTTTGTTTTGTGACTCCTGACCTGAACTGGCTTTTAATGCAGAGGGAGCCGGCCGGATTTCTCACTCATCCGGTTGTGTTTTTGTTATGTGCCACCACAGACTGTCCGGGCGCTGCACTTCCACACTTCCAGGTTCTGCCTTTTGCATTCTGTCAACATTATGTTATAAATGAAATATTTAGAAAATCGATTTTTGATCTGTAAATCGATTCAGAATTGTTCACGTTCGCATCGCGATGCATCTAAAAATCGATTTTCTCTCGCACCCCTACTGACCAGTAATGCTCTTTAGGTGGGATGTTGCCTTCTTGAGATAGACCACTCTTATCAGTGTAGAAAAGCTGTTTTATGTTTAGTGCTAAGAGGCAGCACTGAAGCATTCGCTTGCAAATAATGAATGTCTTGCCTTTCTGTGCTTCTATTATTTTGGCAGCTGTGTGTATCTATTCTACAGTACAACTACCCAAAGATGAAGGCCCTACTTACGCTACTGTGAGCTTCCAGAAGAATCCAGACTCTCCTAGTAATAGCACAGTCACTTTCATTAAAGAGGACGCTGCTACTGAGTATGCCACAGTTAAGCACCTCTCAGGACCAGAATGACCTGCTGATTCCTGCTAGACTCATTACTGTACAGTGCAAATCTGCAGACTCAGGATGGGACACAATGCGCAAGGTCAGAGAAGGTGGATTTTGTGAGGAATGAGACTGGACCCCAACCTAGGATGTGACGATTGGAATTTATTTGGAATTATGTCTATCTAGAGCTTAATGAAGTGGATCCACTGATGCACTGAAACACTCTCTTACCTATGCTAGCCTGGCTTTTATACATTTTAAATGGTCAGCTGGATTGCAGGGCTTGCTAAACAGCCATGTTTTTCAATGCAAACATACACTGTTATAAAAGAGTAGTAAATTACTACCAGTGATGCATTAATAAATTAGTATATGCACCTGTACACGGGCCTGTACACATTGTGTGTAGATTTGAAGTGGATATATGCATTATACTGCTAAAGCTACCTTTTATTGCACTAAATCTACTTATTATTTACCTCTAGCTTACAGAAAAAAATAAAGACAATGAATTTTTTTGTAATTACAATGCTTGTCGTTGCTTTTTTCATTTCCTGTTTGGTATAAACATGGTTATACCTGCCAAATTCAGTCAAACTCAGCTCCCCTCAAAGATAGTTAGGATATAAAGGAATGCTTTAGTAGTTGGTATAGAATATTATATAGACGTTTTATAACTGCACATTCATTGGATCTTGTAACATCAACCAGCTGATGTTGATTAGTTGTCTGGGTGTTTTGAGAGACTTTACTGTAATATACTGTACTGAACCGTCTAAAATATCTCTACATGGATAGGAGCCCAGGACAAATGACCAGTAGTCTGAGTGGGTAATGCATCCTTGATTACCATCATTTATAACAACTGCAAAATTACATTAACTCACAACTGATACTATACTTATCCTCCTGGGTTGCAGAAGCCTATCTCAGCGGTCATTGGGTGGAAGGCAGGAAACATCCCGGACATGCTGGCAGTCATAGGGCCTACAAACAACAGACAACAGCAAAAAAACAACACAAGTCCCTTCGTTGGAGGGTGCATGCTACCATGAGCCTTTGCTTGTGGCCATCTGCCTAGCCACACCTCCAGAATCTTAGGCACCAGTGCCATCCAGTAGCAGAACACTACAATATGATACAACCCAAAGACGTGTTGCATTATTATTCCACCTATATTAGAATAATACCTGCATTATCATTCTAGCAGGACTAGCGGGACTCTTTATGTAGGTGTTTCTTCAATGGCTGAATGCATTCTTTGCAAACCACACGTGTACAGCTGGAGACAGTCTGCTAGTTCAGCCTGGATTTGATTGGTGAATAAGATCAATAAAATGCAGATTAAAAAAGACACTTAGTCTCTCAGACAGTTAACTTTCTCATCAACTACAACGTCTTGGGTATGACGTTTAAAGCTCTTAATGGCCTAGCTCTGGCACTTCTTACTGAGCTTCTGGAGCATTATAGCTCACCTAGACCACTTCACTCAGCTGAGGCAGGTTTACAGCACAAACTGAGGATCACTTACAGCTCAGTTGGTGGAACATCATTTTATTAAATAGCTCCTAAACTCTGTAATTCCAGAGAACATTACAAGCGCAAGTTCACTACATCCATACTAAAACATATTTGCTTGGTGTAGCCTTGGCCTAGTGTTCTAAGGCTCATTTTTTCTGTCAGACACGATGGCAGAATTTCTTTTACAGGGTGCTATAGGGGTGCCGAAACATCTGTAGGGGGTGCTGTGGCTGTTGTGGTGGTAAATTTGAACTTAATCAAACTGAATTTGGCCTTAAATCAAATGCTGAAAGGTGGTATATATATTGCCGACACCTGTTCCACTGAGTGTTAGAACTAGACTGCAAACTTTTAGTGGAAAGCTAACAAGCTGCACATGCCTATTAAATGGACAAACTTTGTGAAGTGATTTGGTCGAAATGAAACATTGACCCACTCTTTAAACGGCTACGGTTTTTCGCAGTTTTTCAACAGTGTGATGGAGTTTGCCTTGTGTGATGATACATTTACATAGCCTTTTTAGTTTGCATGATATATTTTTCCAAAAAGAGAAAAATGCAAGTCTGGAGATCATGCTGACAGCAGCACTGTCGTTATTCTGTCCTCACAGTGTTGCAGTGGTCATCATCATAATCATCATCGTCGTTAACCGCTTAGTCCAGCTAGGGTCGCGGTGCAGTGGTCATTGTAGGTGTCTATTAACACACGTGTGGAGGGTGAACCAGTACTTTTGGATATCAGTACAGCTGGTATCACTCTCTTTACCATTGCTGTTCCAAACTTTTCATTGTCATTGTCTTGAGAAAGGAATAAGAAAGCCATGCAACTTTAAATGACTTTAAGTGCAAGTAGGAGTGCTGAACATTTTTAAGGGGTACTTCAGCAAAAAATTTAGAATTTCTTCAAGGCAAAGGAAAAAGCATTGCTGTTGGTCTTCTGTCATCGTACGCCTAAACGAGAGTGAACATGAAGCATGTGATGGCAAAAGGAGACAAAGCATTCTACTTTTTAGTGAAGATTTGCACATTTTTTGTAATATATCTTCACTATCCTAAAACACAAAAACATGTATTTTCATTATTTTCAATTTTTACTTTTTCTGCATCATTTGAGCACAGCTGCCTTTCTTTTATGGTGAATTGATTTATAGAAATACTCCACAATCACTTGGAATAAAATATACATTAATTTACGTACATTGCATCTAAAAAATGTGCTGGACCCAGTCTGGTGAGCCTTGGAGCCACCTAACAGATGAGCTTAGTTTCACTGAAAGGCAATTTCTGTGGTTCAGAATGTACTGACATCTTTATCACAGCAGGGGGAGCTGTTTATCTCAGAGATCAGTTTGTAAACCTGAATCATTACTGGTCACTTTTCTTAAACTTCAATCATGTATTATTATCATCACAGGTTGCAGGATTAGCACTGCATTGTGCAAATCAATACAAGGTGCTTTCAACACACATACACACACAGACACACACACAAACACACACACACACACACACACATACACAAAAACACACACACACGATTGTAGTTGTATATTTTCTCCAAAAGAGATCATGTGAGAGTGTAAACAGCATCAACATGTCGTGAGAATAGTTTTGTTTATAATGTTGTTCACACCATTTGCAGTGGAAGGTGCAAAATGTCCTGTACGAGTTCATAGCCCGAAAAAAGAAGACAGGTCACTAACGCAACAGGAAAATGTGGTCAAAACAAGGCTTCCCAAATGATAACTCAACTTCTGTGATTCATAAAGTCATGCGGGTGGGGGGTGGGGGGTGTTAAGCATAACGGAAAGGCAAGAGGAAGGAGGTGGTGCTGCCATTTAGCAACAGTTAGAGAGACAACAGACTAAGTTTCGCGCTCTTAGAACCACTGAACGGCATCATCAGCGAGTGCAGAGAGCAAACGGACAGGATCAGATAAACACAGTGACTCGGTAATGAAGGTCCTGCTCCTCATCCTCACTCTCTACCTCGTCTCAGGTCAGATACTCTACTGATCTACTACATTCTTTCTTTATTATAAGTATGACATCGCTTCATTTGGTCCTTTAGATTTAAAGGTCTAGTCGTAGTCATAGCAGTAACTGAACAATGTACTAGATAATAAGCCTTAAAGTTAAAAATGATAATGATAATAATGAGCCTAGAGATGTTAAGGCCTTTAAGCCCTGAGGGCCTGTACATGAGCCCAACCTTCAGCTCTTCTTATAAGTGCTTTCATAACAGATTAGCTAGTAGTAGTTGCTGATTTATTCATAGTAGTTATAGTACACTCTTAAAAAAGATGGTTCTTCAAGGGTTCTTTAGTAAAGAAAAGGGTTCCATATATGAACACTTAAAGAACCCACTGCATGATTAAATGGTTCTTTGCATGGTGAAATCGTTCTTCAGATTGATGGGGAATGTGCTGTAGATGGTTCTATAGAGAACCTTTTTGAAAAGGGTTCTATATAGCACCAAAAAGGGCTCTGCTATTGTCATGATGTGAAGCCTGTAACAATAGAAGAGCCCCTTTTTGGTGCTATATTGAACCATTTTCAAAAAGGTTCTCTATAGAACTATCTACAGCACATTCTCCATCCATCTAAAGAACACTTTTGGATGCTATATAGAACCATACTCAAAAAGGTTCCATATAGAATCATGTACAGCATATTCTCCATTAATCTGAAGAACCATTACACCATGTGAAAAACCCTTCAGTCATGCAATGGGTTCTTTGAGTGTTCATGGTTCTATATAGAACCATTTTCTTGTCTAAAGTACCAAAAAGAACCATATTTTAAAGTGTAGTATGGTAGTGCAGCAGTAACATAGTAATAACAAGTCTTAGGATTAATAACTGGATAATAAAGCTAGATCAAGGACTTAAGATAGTTTGAATGTTTAATGAATGACATGATGCCCATGCTGTAGGTCACAAGACTAAAAGAGGAACTCCTTTATGATTGACAGGTCCAGTGGGCTGTGTTGAAGTGACTGGGTACACAGGAGGAAGTGTCCTCATCAACTGCATATATGATTACATGAAATACAAGAATCACACAAAGTATTTCTGCAAGTTAAACCAAAAAAAAGAATGCACTGACCAGATTCTTTTAAAGACACAGAACATAGGAGCTCATGATGGAAGATTCTTCTTAATGGATGAAACTCAGCCTGGAATGTTTAGTGTGCTCATTAAAAACGTAAGTCAGCAGGATGGTGGGACCTACAGGTGTGGAGTGGAAGACAAAACAGCAAAGCCTACAGACGTAACACTGCAAGTGAAAGAAGGTAAGAGATTCCAATTTGCATTTTAGTGACATTCAGTGATGGCCCGGAAATTATTTAGCAAAAGCTGCGTAGCATAAAGAACACTGTGAGATGGTCAAGGTCTCTGGGTCATGAAGAATGGACTGTATCTTTTCACTGCAAAACACTAACTGGATAATTTGGTTTTATTGGCAGATCCTTGTTGTGGAAAGACACTCACACAGGAAACTCATCCAGGAGAGACTGTTAGCTTTACCTGTAAATATCCACAGGAGTCTAAATATCTCTACAAGTACTTGTACAAAGTGACAGATCACAGCTATCATGTGGTCATATTTGCTCTTGGACTATTGGTACAAAATGGGACGTTTTCTCTTTTTGACCATCCACAAGAAAACCTCTTCAACGTGAGCATCAGTAACGTGACTGAAGAGGATGGAGGAGTTTACCTGTGTGGAGTTCAGGGACAAAAGGATGGAGATCTGAAACCTTACTACTCCCTCTTCAATGAAATACAGCTTCATGTTACTCGTGAGAACCTATTCATTTTAATTGCAGTGCAGTTCTATGTAAATTTCATATAACATACACATTTGTATGCAAAAGTTTGGGCTCCACGGGCTCCATCAAATCATTTTTAAAATGTTAATGCATGGTTACTTTACATATGATGAACTTTCAAAATAGAAAAAATAATATAGTAATTGTAGTGGAAAAGTTTGGACATCCTTCAAGTTGTCTCACAACTTTAGACCTCATTAGGACTGGTCCTCATTAGAACATTAGTACTTTAGCTGATGACTAATCCAAGTAAATACATTCTCTAGCTTTGAGATTGTGTGGCAGACTGTAGAATTGTTCTGGAAGCAAATACGACACAGTGTAGAAACTAAAACTGAAAAGAGGCTGGCTTCTACAACAGGATAAAGATACAAAACACACCTTAAAATCCACAGTTCCCTGACTTGAACATCACTGAAAATCTGTGGGTAGATCTTAAACATGCTGTGCATGCAAGACAGCAAAAGAGCAGAACTAGACCCGTTCTGCAAGGAAGAGTGGGTAAAAATTCATAAAATAAGAATAAAAAGACTCCCAGCTGGCTACAAAATGTGTTTGCAATCTGTGGTATCTGCCAAAGGGAGTGTTTCTAAGTACTGACTTTAGGGTGTCCAAATGTTTACACATAACAAAGTTACTATTGTTTTTTTTTATTATTATTTTGTTTCTGTATTTTAAGTTAATATTAAGTAACTGTAATATTCTAAAATTAGTTTACTATTAGCAGAGGTTGTGTTTTCTTTGTTTCACTTTAAAAACAAACAAAATATGTAATTTGTCCCGGTTTCCCACATTTTGCATACAACTGTGCAAGGATGTGTTTGTTGCACCATATTGGTTTCTGAATTAGTTTTTTAACATTAATCCATGTGTTTTTATTTCATGTCACCTCCACTGACACTGCCATCAATTAGCATCTAGAGCACATGGTAAGAACTCAATTTATACATACATACCTGCACTATCTTCCATGTATTGTTTCGTCAGAGTCTCTCCAACTGTGTTTGTCTCTGTATCTCCAGCTTCCTCCATCAACATCATCATCATCATCATTGCGGGTGTCTGTGTGGCTCTACTGCTAATTGGAGGATCAGCACTGATCGTCTACAAACTGAGACATAAAAAGATACAAGGTGCTGTTCACATGCACACCCCTGTTTTTCAGGCCTTTCAGAGAAACTAATTCCAATGTTGCCATTACATGATGGCACTGCAAAAAAAAAGTCTTTCCAACCCTCATAGCATAATTTACATAAACAGCATCAGTGTGTGACCGATGGCAGGATGCAGTCATGTAAACGCTGCTATAGTGTTAGCATTACTGGTGTAGCAGTGGCATTTGGTCTTATGTACCATGCCAGTGGTTCTCAAACTGGTTCTCAGGGCTCTCCAGACAGTCCACTTATTTCTCAATCCCAGCTCGATATATAGGAATAGAACAAAAGCTGCTTTTCCACTGCTTGGTAGCAGCTCAGCTCAAGTCGACTTGCTTTTGGAACCAGCTACTTCGTTTTCCACTGCAGTTATAGTACCCCAATCACGAAACTGCTATTCAGAAGAGCCTGACAGCAGCAAGACAAGACTGCAGACTAAAAAAGGAGAGTTTGGGGAAAACTACATCAGAGTTCAGATGATGAGACGATTCTGGTTGCTCAAAAAAGGCAACGCAAGAGGCTGCACTAATCTGGTAGCTAATGTTAGCATATGTCTTTAGCAATTCTCTCGATCAATCAGTAATCTACAGCAATTTTACATAACCTTTTGGTATCAGCTGAGCTTGCTTGGAAACTTCCACAGAGATGATACCAGAGTATCCAGAGTACCAGGTACTAATTTTTGCCAAATGAAAAACCAAAGGCAAGTAGAGTTGAGTTGAGTCAAGTCGAACTGGTACCATGCAGTGGAAACCGCCTAAGTTGTGGACTGTCTGAGGGGTGCTGGAAGCTGATTTGAGAACATACAATCTTTAAACTGTGTTTTGAACCTGTGCAAATGTTTCTCAGTACATCAAACTGTGCAAAATTTGCGTTTTGTTTACACACCAGGATTCACCTATGTTCAGTGACCATTTACCGCCATAAAGAAGCTAACTTTTCTTAGCTTAGCTGTTTACATTACAGTTTACAATACAGTGCTTGTATTTGCAAGTAAACCACAATAAATGTCAGTGTAATCATTTGTATTATTTCACTAATGTGTGCTAAAAGAACACTCTGTTGCAACACTTAGCTCCAGTGTTAGTTTTAGTGTTAGATTTAGCATTGGCTAATCTGACAGGGTATCTTATGTCTCTAAAACCTTTAACTTAGTAGACATGAGGACCTGCTTCTTTATGATCCTGTGGCTAAAAAATTTTCCTGGTTAGGTTAATGTAAACATGGTTTCCAGAATCCTTTTTTCTATTAAAAGGCCAACATTCACAATTTATCATTTCTCAAACATGCATATCTGCACTGAACATCTTGTTAAACCACTTTATTTTTTGAATGTACTCCTCAGTGCACTTACAGATTTTCCTTGGTGCTTCTGAACTTCTCAATACTTTTGCATAGAGAATCCCATAGCGGCACTAGCAGATTTTGACACGTTATTTTTTCTGCTACTACAATAAAATTGAGAGTTGTCCAATAGATGCTACCAGGTAGCCCAGCTGAAGACAACAATAACTAAGGAAGGCAGGACTTGTCAGAATTTTGCAAATGGTCAGCTGTTAAATATTGGTTATTTCTGCACAAAATATGTCTCTGCCAATTATGAATGATTTGTAAATTATTTTTTATTATTTAAAAAAAAGCTCCAATATAAACTGCATGGTTATAATCCTGGAAAAAACTTGTCTATGCTGATTTTACTTGTCCTTCTCACAGCAGACAACCTAGTGAGCATGAGTGTGGGAAAGTGGACATCTCCATTAGGTTGCCGCTAATATAACTCTGAGAATCCTACAGTGGCACTTTTTCCCTCAGTTTTTGAGATATCAACACCGTTCCAACTCCAGATTGTCCAGTTTGATTGTGTTTCAGGCTTGTATACAGCTTTTTGATTGGATGCACAGATTCTGTGTAATGAAATTTTGCAGATTTTTTTGGAATAGAGGAATGAATAGAGTGAAAAATTGCATGACAATCTGCTGTACTTCTGCTTTAGTGGACAACACTGTTTCGCATATATTATCTCAGGGCAAGGCCCTAAGCATGAATTCAATGTTCCTCTGACCCGCACTCATCCGTTTGTCTTTTTTTCAGCCCTTGTTTCTCCCATAGACTCCCAGTCATTTTCCCCATCACACAAACTTTATTACTTCTTTGCCCAACAGCCACCAAACTACACGATCTCACTCAGGGCAGGTCCTCAAGCTCTAATCCACAGCCATACTGACTCGCACTGCTCTATGTGTAGTTTTTCCATCCCTGGTTCCTCCCATAGAGTCCCATTCGTTTTCAACAACACATAGCTAACACCTAGCAACTCCTTATGAATAACTAAACAAACACCCCATACACCATGGCAACTGCCTAGCAGCAATTTAGCATCCACATGGGATACCATAGTAACTGCCTAGCAACAACCTAGCAGGAAGTGGGAACTATTTAAGCTGCACAACGATTCTACACAATTCTAGTTAAAATTCGAGAATTGTTGGTAAAAATAATACTGATTCTTATCTACCCCTTGACAGATCACATGACATTTGTGTCTTATTGTGTCCCACAGATTCGGCGCCCTCTTCATCAAACAGAAGAAACACAGTAAATAGTGATGAGGTGAGTGAGTGTGTGCGTGTGAGTGAGAGAGAGAGAACAATTCTGAGCTATTTTTAGCCAGGTGATGCTACACACTTAAAAAAGATGGTTCTTCAAGTGTTCTTCAGTAAAGAAAACGGTTCTATACAGGACCATGAACACTCAAAGAACCCTTTTCATGCTTGAATGACTCTTTGCATCGTGACACGTTCTTCAGATTGATGTAGATTGTGCTGTAAATGGTTCTATATAGAACATTTTTCTAAAAGTTTCTATATAGTACCATCTTCAAAAAGGTTCTATAGAGAACCATCTACAGCACACCAAAAAGGGCCCTGCTATTGTTACAATGCAAGCTTGTACACTCTTAAAAAAGATGGTTTTTCAAAGGTTCTTCAGATTGATGGAAAATGTGCCTGAATGTGCTATAGATGGTTCTATGTAGAACCTTTTTGAAAATGGTTCTATATAGCACCCAAAAGGGTTCTTCTATTGTTACAAGCTTGACACCATAACAATAGAAGAACCCTTTTGGGTGTGAAAAAGTTCTATATAGAACCATCCAACAATCTGAAGTAACTATTTCACGATGCAAAAAACCCTTTAATCATGCAAAAAGTTCTTAGAGTGCTCATGGTTCTATACAGAACCTTTTTCTTTATTAAAGAACCCTTGAAGAACCATCATTTTAAGTGTATTCAGTGAAGAGCCTTTCAAGGCAAACTCTCTTTTTCTCCCTCTTCTAAGGTTCATCACACTCCCTATTATGAGGAGATTCCAGACACTCGGGCCTCCAGTACAGTTTATGCCACCACTCAGGATCCAGATCCTCACACTGCTGCTAACCAAAGTGCACACCCACCCACAGCCACCCCAGTCAAGGATACATACTCCATGGCACAACTGTCCCACCCTGCAGCCGAATCTTCTGCAGAGTATGCCACTGTGGACCTCTGTGCATAAGGAGACAAACTACATGATGGTATCTGGGCCTTTGCAAGCTTTTGGCTTTATTGCATCAGCATTCATGTGTATGTAGCCATATTATTTAACACTGTGCTCTGTCTCACTTCTCATGTTCTGTTTGTTGACAAGTTTTATTTTCGTAGTACTTATAGTTTCGGTTTGACCACGAGACCAGAGTGTGTCTGAACACACAGTTAGAGTAATGCTGTCCCACATGCATTGAGTTTCCTGTTAGAATGTCACATTTTGTTTTGTGACGGCCAAATCTGTTATAGAGGGGTCAAAACGTGCAGGAGAACCACTCACCTCTGTAAGTTTACTGAATAAAGTAAATTATTTGCCTAATTCTGAAACCTCCCTTATGTTATGCTTCTCTTTAGCAGTTTTATTTCCCTAAACCCACCTGCTGAGTAACATCACTATTATGTTTTCCCCATAAACCAGGTCCACTTTTGACATCTGTAACACAGACAGTCATCTGTTTTTACACAACCACTTTCTAACCTTTCATTATCCCTATCCTTTCATAATTTAACAGGCTGTTTTAGTCACTGTGCCTTTAGGACTGTTATATGTAAATGACCTCTGTTCTGATTGGCTGCCCTGTATTGTGCTTCATTCAGGAAGCAGACTGGGTTGAACCAGTTCAATGTGAGTGGGCGTGGCTAAACTGCTGTAGGCTAAATCAGCTGGTATAAATAAATCCTTTTTTAATGACATCACAAAAACAAAGAATTTTGGATGAGCTTTTAGGCAGATTAGTCTCCATATCATTGTGTTAAAACTTAAACAATGTTTTCATATTACAGCAAACTTTTTCTTTTAAAAAATTTAGGTTTTTCGACTTATAGGCCCTTTAAATTAAATTTCAGAAAAAATACCTTGACATCTATGACTATTAATTTACCTATAATAGATCAGCTCTGATGTAAAATGCATGATTTCAAAGCAGAAGGTTTATCACATCAGTCGCTTATTGTAACAACAATTTTCATTGGTCTGCGTTACTGTCCAAAACAAACATTTTGACTGGATATTCTAGAGAAATATTATTTATATGGTCACCAGGAGCTGAAATCAACTTTATGGCATGTAGCTTCTTTCTGCACGCCCCCTAGTGGTGATTCCATTACCTGAATGGAAATCAACTTATATTATTCCCGTATTGTATTTTTACTCAGTATAATCAAATAAAATATTTTCCTGAAACTCTGTTTCAAATTAACTAGGACTTTTCCTCCCTGTGTGTGAAATGTTGTGTTAAGCTGCTAGTGAGCAACGAGCGGCGAAAGGGATGGGGTGAGAACCTGAAGTGTTTCTTCTGTGACACCTTTTGCCACCTTTATTTTTAAGTATAGTCATTCTTTAACTCTTAAATGTCCAGGGACCATTGGTGGGCTCAAAGTTTTAATACACTCTTCCATAACCTAAGAATAGCTCAGCCATTTTGTATTAAAGTCCCTGTAGTTACTCAATAATAGGCCTTAGCATGTAATAAGCCTGGGATTTTAAGGGGTTAATCTCATCCATTCCTTTGGTCATCTAGGTGAAGAAACATCCATTCTTTGCCGGTACAACCAGCAGTAAAGTTCTTCTGCAAGCCACAGATTAGTTCAGATTATGCACAGAAAATAGTTAGAGTTGCATTAGAAGGACCACTTACACCCCATGTGTCAAACACGAGGCCAGATTAGGCCCATGATGCAATCCTTTCCGGCCTGCAAAAGTATTTTAATATTAGTTCTATTAATATTAGCGGCTTACACAATGCACTGCACTACAGTCTCCAGCATGCACTGCCACGTAATGTGCACTGACTCTACTACCCCAACAACTGTCAATGGGACAGCAGTTACACCTCAGGTCTACAGAGTTCTACACAGTTCCACGCCAGTAATATCACAACACAATAGCTGTCTATACAAATGTCTATATTTTACTTTTGTTCTTGCATATTATGAATAAACAGTGGTCAGTACGGTTTACAGTAGAATGTTATTGAAAATAAAAATAAAACATATGTGTTCTCTGGCCCAGAGATATAGTGGTTGAGCTTGACACCCCTGACTCACATGGACAATTGTCTAAGTGATGCTGTATCTGCTGGATGCTTCAGTGAGACCACTGCTAAGCTAGCAGAAGATGATTCATGTACGCACTGGAGTGAGGATCAGCAGAGTCGGAGCTTGTGTTCTTGTCAGGCCAGTGTGTGCCCTTCCCCCATCGTATATAAATAGGAAGGAAAATGCAAGCAGCGAGATGCAGCAAAGATAATTCTGAGGTGTGAAGAAGCTTTTTTAAACTTGCTGTCAAGAACCACTCAAGACGCAACACTTAAATAGGGTTTGCTTACTGAACATTTCTCTTTGTTTTAAAAGTTGAGGTCACTTGGCTGATGTAGCTGCACACAGCACACTCATGTCTACTCGTAAATATACAGGTGCTCATAACAGGGCTACTGAAAGCAACCGCTTCTGAATCCCTAAATAACTTTGTAACTAACCCTGTGTGTGTTGTTGATGTGTTTGTTACTCAGTGGTCTGGTTGACCCACCACATTATTGTTTTAAATCATTCATAACATATTATGTAAAAATACCAGATGTTTAAAATATCACAAAAGTCCAGCGCAGGGTTCTCCTTTAGCAGCTGTAGCCAGTCAGCAGCCTGTCCATGTTGTCCACCCTCACACACACCCATACACACATATACAAACACATACACACACAGACACACACTCACTAACAGCAGGCCATGTAGGAGGAGAACAGAGTGAAGGACACAGCACCTCCACACTTTTACTCCCCGTGGGTTCAGCCCAACATCATATGTGTAATATAAGTGTGTGGGGGTGAACAGAGTGAAGACACTGAAAATGGGTTATTTTATATGTTCTTCACAGAAAATAAGCAAAAGCCAAGGAATCTGAGGTTGAAATAAAACTAAATCACAGCAATTTTTTTTTTTGGTGAACATTGAAAACAGGTCCCAGAGACCACACCATCACACAAGGGTTAAGGGATTTGATGTAAGCATTTTTCATCAATGAGAAACACGAAAGCGCATGAACTTTAGTGTTGTGTTCAGTATATTGCCTGTATTTACTTCCTGCTTGTTTGCTGCTGTTTCATGTTAAATTCAGCACTGTGTTCTGGAGGAACTATGCTTGGTTCCTCACTCTGCACTAGTCTGTGGTGAGAATGAAAGACAATAAAGTTCACTTTGACTTTGACTTTAAAATTTAATGAAACTCTAAATAATGTAAAGGGTTTAACATGAGGGGTCACCAATATTGCTTGTTTGTTGTTTTGACAGTGCAGATTTCCCAAAGTGACAGTTTTCTGTCTTCCATCGATACAGTGGGTTTGTAATCAGCTCCGTTTGTATCGTCAGTAACCGCTGTGTTTGTCTCTCCCTCCCCCGTCTGTGGCCCTACTACTGTTTTTCTACATGTTTCTCGTAAGGAAGCAACACAAACATGGTGACCTCACACTCTTTACTTCCATACACGCATGCCCTCATGCATGGACACTTATATGCACAGTCATGCACACCCACATAGACTTACTACAGCTAATGATGCCACATCCCTTTTGTGGTGTGACTATGTGACTGAAGGGTTTATACTGCCCCCTACGGGACTGAGTGCAGTTCTGTTTCCACAGACAGAGAGGTGGGTAAACTGACTGATGTTTACTCAGGTCTGGTCTCTGCAGCTTTTTTGTTTGTTAACTAATTTTGTTACAGAAATAACTGTTTCTTTGAGATACTTTTCGGATTTACATTTTTTAATTCTGTTTAATTCTATTTGACACATTTTTAACAACTTCAATACCATTGCAACAACACAGCTCTCATGCCAGCTGTTTCTGCCTGTACAAAGCACTAACTGTACACAAAGCACTAATTGTGTCAAAAGCACTAATTGTGTACAAAGCACTAATTGTGTACAAAGCACTAATTGTGTACAAAGCACTGATTGTGCACAAAGCACTAATTGTGTCAAAAGCACTAATTGTGTACAAAGCACTAATTGTGTACAAAGCACTGATTGTGCACAAAGCACTGATTGTGTCCAAAGCATAACTGTGTCCAAAGCACTAACTGTGTATAAAGCACTGATTGTGTGTCCAAAGCACTAATTGTGTACAAAGCACTAATTGTGTCAAAAGCACTAATTGCGTACAAAGCACTGATTGTGTGTATAAAGCACTGATTGTGTACAAAGCACTGATTGTGTGTATAAAGCACTAATTGTGTACAAAGTACTAATTACATGTACAAAGTACTAATTGTGTGCACAAAGCACTAGTTACATGTACAAAGCACTAATTATGTACAAAGCACTAATTGTGTGCAAACCACTAATTACATGTACAAAGCACTAATTGTGTACAAAGCACTAATTACATGTACAAAGCACTGATTATGTACAAATCACTAATTACATGTTCAAAGCACTAATTGTGTGCAAACCACTAATTACATGTACAAAGCACTAATTGTGTACAAAGCACTAATTACATGTACAAAGCACTGATTATGTACAAATCACTAATTACATGTTCAAAGCACTAATTGTGTACAAACCACTAATTGTGTGCAAAGCACTAATTACATGTACAAAGCACTGATTGTGTGTACAAAACACTAATTGTGTACAAAGCAGTAATTACATGTACAAAGAACTAGTTGCATACAAAGCACTAATTATGTGTACAAAGCACAAATTGTGTGTACAAAGCAGACTGTGTTTACAAAGCACTGATTGCTTATACAAAGCTCTAATTGTGTGTACAAAGCAGACTGTGTTTACAAAGCACTGATTGTGTACAAAGTACTAATCGTGCACTAAGTACTAATTGTGTACAAAGCACTGATTGTGTACAAAGTACTATGGTACTATGTCCCATAGGCAAAGAAAATATGTTTACATTTGTTTCTGACAAAAGAAATATATATCAATTGATATCATTATATATATTTAATCTTCATGAATGTGCTTAGAATTCATATACTGTCCTATATTTCTATATTTTAATATTCTGACATATATAGCTACAATTCATATTTCTGTGTGAAACAGTTGTATTATTTATTGACACATGTACACAAAACTGCATTTATTTAAAATGGAGTACTTACCAATAAAGTCATTAACAATAAGAATACTATGAATAAGATTATTAAGTGCGTTTTTTTTCTAATCTTGGTAGAAAAGGTTTGGATATCAATTACCAAATAAATAAATAACAAACAAAAACTACTTTGATGTCTCTGATAACATAAATGACCATTTCATTTATATTTAAATACACCTCAGCACGCACAATGCGGCACATATGTTTTGAATATGAGGAAATACATATACAAATATTTTCTACATTTGGAATGTATGTGCCAAGTCCTCACATGTACTGACATGCTGTAGCCCAGTGGTCCCAGTCCTGGTCCTGGTGATCTACCACTGCTAGTAGTCAGTTTGTGAAATTTCTGTCCTGCTGAATCTGCTCCAGCCAACTGTAAGTGTTGTTTTTGTGAAATGGATGTGCTAGTATCAAAAACAGCTCAGCCACGAAGCTGTAGACCATGCAAACTCACAGAGTGGGGCTGCCGAGTGCTGAAGAGCACATCTCATGTAAATCATCTATCCTCTGTTGCATCACTTACTATAGAGTTCCAAACTGCCTATGGAAGCAACATCTGCACAAGAACTGGGCTTTGAGAGCTTCATGAAATGGGTTTCCATGGTCGAGCAGCTGCACACAAGCGTAAGATCACTATGCACAAGACTTTTTGGACAGTTATATATGGGTGCTCTTTTGAAATGTGGTTCCTGATCACCATGTCAAGCGGCGTAACTTTGGAACTTCAACACTTCTTGTGGTTTCTGTGCATTGCAACATGGAGTCTTGCTCAACAGCTCCTTTTTTCACAGATGTCTTTCCAGTATTTCCTTCATTTTCTACGAGCCCCCTTGACAAGACTTTGTACTAGCACCTGTTTGAAGACATTACAAACAGACCCAACCCAAAGGTAAACTTTGCACAGTGACTAACAGCCTGAACTTCCGGCTCAAGAAATTTCGAGTAGAGTGTTTAAGCAAGATGAAGTGGAAGGCAGGAAGGCAGATGTTAATTTTACTATCAACATAATAAGAACATAAACGAGGATTATTTCCAATGGAGAAGGAAATACTGCAGGAAACTGAGCATGGTGCTGAAAGAGGTAGGCTGCCAAGAAATCTTTAAAAATAAGAATCATTCCTAACTACCGTTAAAATTTTAATGTTTGGGGAACGTTCAGCATTTCTTTACAATTATATGTTACTAGAAACAATCATAGCCATTGGTTTGTTGTAATACTGTTAGTCTGTTAATAACTTTGAGTGATTTAAGTGTTAAATCATGCTACGTAATGTAAAATTTGGTTATACTGGTTATACTAAGGGTATATGAGGTATCTGAGCACAGATCAATTATGCATATTTTCTGCCGCTCTGGTACAGTGCATCTGTTTTTCTGTTATCTCTATTTAAATGCAGATTCCACTCAGGCTGTCTGTGTTCAGAGCTCGATCAGGGCTGAGTCCAGGGGGACTGTGAACGCTCCCTCACTGAGCAACAGCCACTTCTCAGCTCCAGTCATCTTTAACTTCAACACGAGTGATGCAGGCCGTGGTATACTAACTTTAATTTATGTTAAAATTTTGAAGTAAGGGTTGGGAGTGATTTTATATTTTAACAAATAAAGTATGTTTACTAGTTAGTTAAGCTTGGTTCACCTTCTTTTTTTATATTATTGTCTTTTTTTTTAATCAAATTTCTTAAACTGCATTACTTTTATTATTATTATTATTATTATTATTATTATTATTATCACTTAATTGTAAAGCATTTTGAGCTGCTACATATGTGAATGTATAAGTAAATAACCTTGTGCACATTTTTTCTTTATAATTCTTAAATGGGAAACCAGCAACAAGATATTTCAGAAACATTTCTAAAATCCTTATAAGGCTACATCCTGTTTCACTTTACCATCAGGACAAAATAAACAAAACAAATAACAATAATGGCTGGTAATAGTTTCAAATACTACATTGCTATTTTTTTTTCCTTGACTCAGAACCATACAACTGTCTATACCTTTTTTTTTTATTATTTAACTTAGGAAAAGAAAATTCAAGGGTATGTGATGGTAAGCTATTTTTTTTAAATCTTTTATCTTTTTACACATGTATGCAATACTAGCGCTATCTATCTATCTATCTATCATATATATATATATATATATATATATATATATATATATATATATATATATACACAGACACACACATATATATATATATATATATATATATATATATAATATGTAGCACTAGTATTGCAGACCCTGTTTAATGCCCATGATAGTAATGTGCCATGCTGTTTTCCAGAGACAAGAAAGCAGGCAGTTTGTGATAAACTGAAGTCGTGCACAAGACAGCGATGCTCAATGATCTACGAAGGGACATCTGATGGAGGAAGCAGCATAGCTTTGACCGACATCTACACAGAGCTCTATATTGTGGAAGGTCATACTGGGGGAGTCAGTCATCAGCATGAGGTGTGGCAGATTGAAGCAATGTCAAGGGCAATTGCTGTGGGCACTTCAATTGAGTTCAGCGACATTTTCAAAGTGCCTTCAGACTCAGAAAACCTGAGAACGGTGCTGACTCTAGGGATTGCAGGGGTAGGAAAGACGGTGTCCGTGCAGAAGTTCGCCCTTGAATGGGCTGAAGGAAAAACCAATGAGGATATAGAGTTTGTGTTCTTGATACCATTCAGAGATTTGAACCCTATCATGGAGGAACAGTACAGCCTCTACAAGTTACTGTGTTACTTTTACCACCAGCTTGACCTGAGGACTGAAGATGTCGAGGCCCTCGCTGGCTGTAATGTCATGTTCGTTTTTGATGGTTTGGATGAGAGTCATCTCACACTGAACTTTGGAAGCAATAAAATGGTATGTGATGTAACAGAGATGTCGTCTGTTGACCTGCTGATTGTCAATCTTATCATTGGAAACATGCTTCCATCTGCTCGCATTTGGATAACCTCCCGGCCAGCTGCAGCCCATCAAGTACCCAGTAAACACTTTGACCTTGTGACGGAAGTGCGAGGGTTTAGTGATGACCAGAAGGAGAAGTACTTCAGGAAGAGGGTCAGCAATCAGGAGCAAGCCAGCAAAATCATTTCCCACATTAAGAAATTCAAGAGCCTTCACATCATGTGCCACATCCCAGTCTTCTGCTGGGTATCTGCAACCGTGCTTCAGCTCATGTTAGACGATGACCAAGAAGGAGAAGAAGCAGATGGGCAAGAAGTGCCCACAACTCTGACAGGGATGTACACAAACTTCATGCTTTACCAGACTGACTTGAAACTTCAGAAGTACCCAGGGAGGTATCGGAGCAAGCCACAGAAATATGCCAATTATTCTGAGGAAATTCTGAAATTAGCAGAGCTTGCTTACAAGAACCTCTTGAGAGAAAAATTCATATTCTTCGAAAAAGATCTGCAAGAGTCTGGCATCGACGTCCAAGCCGCCTCTGTGTATTCGGGGATGTTTACTGAGATTTTCAGAAAGGAGAAGACTTTGTTCAGGGCCAGGGCTTATAGCTTTGTGCATCTGAGCATTCAGGAGTTTCTTGCTGCCTTGTATGTCTTTTATGCGCACAGCATGACAAGGACAAATCCTCTCCTTGAAAACACTGCTGACAAATTGAAATGGCTAGTGAAAAACAACCTCTTTGATCTTCACAAATCTGCCATCAACAAGAGTTTACAGAGTGAGAGCGGACACCTGGATCTATTCCTCCGTTTCCTCCTCGGTATCTCACTGGAGTCCAATCAGACACTTCTGGTAAACATCTTCCCACAGCTGAGGTCGACCGAAGGAGTTGAGAAAACAGTTCAGTTCATCAAGCAGAAGATCAAAAAGCAGATCTCACCAGAAAGGAGCATCAATCTTCTCCACTGCCTGAACGAGATGAATGACAACTCCTTGGTGGAGGAGATTAAGAGCTATATTAGATCTAGATCAGATCATCAGTTCACCCCTGTGGAATGCACTGCCCTCGTTTATCTACTCCTGATGTCAACGGATGACCTAGAGGAATTTGACTTGAGGAAATATCTCAGGTCAGATGAGGGTCTGAGGAGAACAATACCACTAGTTGTTGCATCCAGAAGAGCTTTGTAAGTTATGTGCACTATACATTTTTTATGTTGTGGGTTTTTGAATTTGTACATTGTGTTTATTCTTCTTTCTCACCAGGCTGAAAGACTGTAATCTGACCAAACACAGCTGTGAGATTCTGGCTAGTGCCCTCAGCTCCAGAATGTCATGCTTAACAGAACTAGACCTGAGTAACAATAACCTGCAAGACACTGGAGTTTCGCTGCTAGCTCAGGGGCTTACGAGTCCATTCTGCAAACTTCAGCTGCTCAAGTAAGTACATTTTTGCATTGCTCAGGCAAACTCAATCACTCATTATTGTTCCACTCTTCATATTTGCTTTGTTCCCATGTTCTCATCAAATCTCTTAGCTATTCTGAGATTTTAAATGTAATCCTTGGCGCTTGACTTTGACATTGACTCAAAGCTCTATCTGTACAAGTAATGCATAACAATAACCTTTTGTTTTAGTGATTTCATAAACTTATCATAATGACTACCACTTTGTTTTAACCCTAGGCCACATTATTTTATATAAAAGTCCTAAAATGCCCATTGCTAAATTAGCATAAATTAGCATATTTCTCCATCTGTCGGTATTTTACTACTTACCTAAAGATTTAATGTTCTAATGGGAATAAAGAAGGCAAGGATCAGGATCCGTATTCACAAAGCTTTTCAGAGTACGATGAGTGAGATTCCTCTCTTATTTACTATGCAGGAATCTTATTTACTAGCAGAAATCGATCCAAGATCAGCAATTCTACTCTGAGGAGCTTCATAAATATAGTGTCTAGTAACAATTTTACTAGAACAAATAACAGTCCTACTTTTTCTGCACATCAAGTAAAAGCAGCCCAAACAGACCACATGCAAAAGTAACACTGGAAGATATGTAAGCTAAAAAATTATGTTACTTACGGAATGTATTGTCACTGTCCAAAGAAAAACAAGTATCTCCAAAATGGTAACTTCACAGGAGGCAGCCAAAATGTTCTTTACTTTTAATGTAAGTTAATGTAAAGAGATTTTATTCCAAGCAATTTTGGAGCATTTCTGTTGGTCCATTCACACAATGTAAATGGCAGCTGCTAAGCTGAAATGATGTAGAAACATAAAAATCAACAACATTGAGCTTTTTATTGGAAAGCAGTGATTTACTGTGTGTATATATAAATGCAGGGTTATTTTTAATCAAATTATCCAGATCTATCAAAGACAGATGATCTAATGGAAGGAAATGTTTAAGAACCACTGACATACAGCAGTCATCATTACATCATTAATCTTACCTACACATCCCTTCCACCAGGCTGTGTGGGTGTCTTATAACAGAAAAGGGGTGTTCATCTCTGGCTTTTGCTCTGAGTTCAAACCTCTCACAGCTCAGAAAGCTGGACGTAAGTAATAACCACAGCGGAGCGAAAGGAGTGAAGATGATCTTTGACATAATAGAAAACCCAAGCTACAAACTGGAAGGACTTACGTGAGTAAAGAACATAACCTGCTTGACCTCTATGCACTTACTTATTGAGAATGACCAGCATTTTTAATTGAAATATGAAACATTGCAGTCACTTCGTAACTCATAATATTAACACTTCACTGTTTTTGTCACCTACTTAGAGCAGACCATTTTGGGGAGATGCAAATGAGGAAGAGCTTATTGAGTTGTGAGTATTTCTTTTTGTAGTGCAAATTGAACGAAAATGAAATTTCAGAAGTTGCAGGGCCAAAGACTCAGGATTGCAGTCACACTAACAGCGCTTCACAAAGAATGGAAAGAGAGTGTGAGTGTTTGTAGAGGAGCTGATGAATGGAGATTACGAAGAGGTCTGTGAGAGTGACGCTTAGAATTTAGGAGAGTGACCTCTGGTGGGCAGTTTGGGAGCTGCACAACACTGTGCAGGACTCTGTATCCATTGTTGTACTATTGCTCTATAATTACGGTCAAAATATGTGATGCGTTATACAAATCATCACACAAGCTTTTTTTCATGTAGATCTCATTCTTGGAGTTCTTGCTTTCTTGTAGGGCAAAAACCATCCTTAGCATCGTCTAGGTTTCGGTTCTGGAATATAATTCAGTCAAGGTCTTTAAAGAAACCACTTATAGTCCCACACATTCCGAAGATGATGCCTTGCAGAAACAGCATGACAAATCTTAATTTAACTTAAAGTTTAATTTTGAAATGGTTCACAGACTCAGGAACCAGATGTCGTGATATATATAATATATATAACACAAATATATGCTTTATATTTACTATCAAAACCACCAGTTAAACTACACGTCTTCTGAGTTTTCATATGTAATGTTGTTGATGGTAAATAGTGATGAATCTGAAAAAATGCTATGTTTGAGGACAATTTCGCCTTAGAATGTTTACATTTTAAAGGGGAATTCGACCTTTTTTTCGGAATTTCAGCATAATTCAGTGGTTGGGATGCAAACAAAGACATTCAGGATGTGTTTTATGTGAAGTGGTTCATTGTAGAGAAATGTACAGGCTCAGATTTCTTTACAGTGGTTGTGATAGGAACCAGAGGTCACTATGACTACAACACAAATATAGACATTTTATTCACTAAATAATAGGTCTGAAAAAATATGTTTTCTCTGGGGACTATTTTGCCTTGCAGTGCTCTGCATGTATCCCTTCACAATGAATGGATTAAAATTAATTTATGAAAAATTCGTTTCAGACCAAAATTTTATCACAAAACTATCATAAAACAGTGTTTCAGACATCAGGCAGTGAATTCATAACCATTTCATGTAGTAACTTTCTGTGAGGGAGCTTTTAGAGGTGGACATCTGGTTCCTATCACCACCACTGTGAACAATTCTGACTTGGTAAGATTCTCTAGAATGGAGCGTTTCACACCAAACCACTCTGAATGACTTGGATGTTTACATCTAAGATTTAATTGAAAAATCAGCAAAACTCCTCTTTATGTACTGGAAATATTTTCTTGAAAGGTTTTGTCTTTCAGTCAAAGAACAATTTAAAAAAAACAAAACAAATTTTGTGCTCCTTCCAACTTCAGGGAATCCATTGATAAGGTATATTACGTTGCTCCTGACTAATTTTTCTGCAGATATGTGTCGGCTCACTCTGGACCCCAACACTGCTCATCGATCTCTCTGTCTGACGGATGAGGACAGGACGGTGTCGTGGAGCATGAAGGAGATCCCCTACAATGACCATCCAGACCGATTCCAAACGTGGAAGCAAGTGATGTGTCGAGAGGCGCTATCTGGGCAGCATTACTGGGAGGCCGAGTGGAGTGGGAGCGTGTTTGGGGTAAATATAGGGGTCACATACAGAGGAATCAGCAGGACTGGAGAGGCGAATGTCTCCTTGGCAGGTCACAATGACAAATCCTGGAGTCTACATTGCTCCAATTACAGCTATACTGCGTTGCACGATGGCAAGAAAATCGACCTCAGAAAAACACCAGACGACAACTTCATTTCTGAGACGATAGCGGTGTATCTGGACTGGCCGGCTGGCACTCTGTCCTTCTACAGAGTCAGCACTGATACTCTGAGCCACATATACACATTCCATACAAAGTTCACTGAGCCTGTCTACACTGTGTTCAGACTGATCCATCACTATGCTGTGGTGTCCCTATAGCTGAGCACAGACTGTTTTTGTGAGTAGACAATTTTCTGTCCATCTTCTAGCCTGAAAAGTCCAAATCCTTAAGTCTCATTCTCAACCTTTGAAAATGTCCAAACTAATAAGACAGTATAATACAAGAAAGTGGGAACAATATGCATTGGAGCCATTGAGTTTAGGGATGCATCTAATATTCGGCAGCTGAAAATTTTGGGCCAAAACAGAAAGAAGGTTGAATTTTTTACCTGAAAAAAACAAAAAAAAACAAAGATGAAATAAGCCTACGACAGTGTCAAAATCTAATACTGTACAAATAATTTTAACATAAATGTCATGTTAACTGTTTTCTATTTATTTTCTGTTATGTCCTGTTGAAAGGGGTCAACAAAAAGTGTTATTTCTTCAATAGCTCATATTTACTCTTTTAATTCAGAAGAATAAATAAAAATGCAATTTAAAAAAATCAACTTCTTATTTGGGTTCTGGTTTTTGTCCAGAATTTTGGTTTTGGACAAGAATTTTGATCTCATTGAGATGTACTGAGGTATATACATGAGCATCAGGTATATACTCTGAGCATCAATTGTTTGAGCATGTGCTACAAATAACACAGTGGTTTATTAGTTCAAAGGTTTTTCCTATGGGACAATTTATTTTTCCTTCTTTGGTCGGTATCTCTTAGGGATGTGTATCTAGAACCAGTACTAAATTGCCATTGGTTACTGACTGGTTGGTCTCGAAATATCGAAAAGCTCGGTATTTCTGTAATGTTAAGTAATTCTACATAGTATCTTCTAACAAGTATGTCACTGATATTTTGGTCACTTCTCTACAATGCCATCTAAATTCCTCAGACCTTTGCAGCTTCTTGGAAGTGAGACTCTGAAGTTTTAAACAGCTTGAAACGTAAATGTAGCATTTTGCTTGTATAGCTGATGAAGAATATCCAAAAACATTCATCCTCACTTTGTATAATAGGCTGAAGTGAGTCATAGCGAAGTGAAGCTCTTCCTCTTTCTGCTTAATGTTCTCTGGCTGTGTCTGTCTGCAGCGCTGCTTTAGCTGTTTCAGCTTCTCGAGTGTGAATCACTGAGTGTGTTTACATGCACTCAATAATCCCATCATAATCAGATTTCTGCAGTTATCTGACTATTCAAATGGTCATGTAAAGAGCACACTGACTTCTTAGATCAGAGTAAAATCTGGAAATCTGATTAAGAAATCTGATAAAGAGGCTGGATTTAGCTCAGTAATCAGATTTCTCAGTGCATGTGAACTCTGATTTACTCTTACTCTGATTTCTTTCGGAGTTCTCAGTCTGCGTATGTGAGAAAACAGACTGCGGTACCGGATATAAACAAACACCGTCGTCACAAGACGCAGCAAAACACTTTTAGAGAAACCAACAACATTTTTGACGAAATTAAGGATTTAAATATTCTTCATCTTCTAGACGATGTATTTTCATATTTACAGGTAAAGTGGTGCAATGTTTAAAAAAAAAGCTGCAGCATGAAGTTTAAACTTAACATTCAGTTTACGTCACGTCTTCTTCTGTGAGTTTATTGGCTGGTTGCAAAGCGGATATCCGATTACTGCCTGACTCATGTCAACCCGGAGTTTTCTCATTATCTGATTACCCAAGAACTTGTAAACACACTGATCGGATTACTGAAAAAAGTCTGATTTTCTGCAGTTATCGGATTATTAAGTGCATGTAAATGCACTCACTTATGTTTAATACCACATGTTAATTTCATTATACATTACTGACCAAATTTATTGTGGATAACGATCTACTGGACATCACAGATTGGAGCTACACTCCAGCTCACAAATGCATTGTATTTAAATGATTCTCATGAGAAACCTTCAAGTAAACAAGATAAAGGTATTGTAAATGAGACAGAGACAGTAAGCTTTCAATATTGTTTTCTCTAGTGTTAAATTTTACAGATCTTTCTCCTTCAGTTTGAAACTTCACTGATGGGTCTCACCTGGTGTTTCCCAGCTCCATTCCTGGAGGTCCATCCTGAACTGTTTTCAAGTTTTCCCTGTTTTTAAACGCCTGTTTCAGCTCAAGAGGGCTTAATAATTAACTAATGCTGTAAAAGGTGTGTCAGAGTGGGAAAAACACAGAAGTCAGCATGGCGAAGGCACTACTCTAGGACTGTCACTAGGAAACTATGGTCTGGTTATGTGTACTGAGTTGATAGTTTATTAGATGTTTTGCAACCCTGGTCCTGGAAACCCACTGCACTGCCCACTTCTCTTTTTCTTTCAAGTTAAACCTTGTCACCACTATCATACACCATCTAACGTCCCACTTTTATGGCAGCAAAAAGGTGCCAGTTGATAATAAAACATAAAACTCAAGGAGCCTGACAACAAATTACTTTTTTTTAATTAAACTTTAGTTGTTTGTACAAGGGCCATTTGTTCATCTTGTGTTTACTGTTGTAGTGGTCAGTCCCAAATATTTGGGACCCAGACCCAGTCCCCTGGCAGTCAGAGCCCCTGGCAGTCAGAGACCCCAGGCAAGCAGAGACCCTAGGCAGTCAGAGACCCCTGGCAATCAGAGACCCCTGGCAATCAGACTCTTGGCAGTCAGAGGCCCCTGGCAAGCAGAGACTCTTGGCAGTAAGAGACCCCAGCAGTCAGAGACCCCTGGCAAGCAGAGACCCTTGGCATTCAGAGACCCCTGGCAGTCAGAGACCCCTGGCAAGCAGAGACTCTTGGCAGTCAGAGACCCCAGGCAGTCAGACTCCTGACAGTCAGAGCCCCTGGAAGTCAGAGGCCTCTGGCAGTCAGAAACCCCTGGCAGTCAGAGACTCCTGGCAGTCAGAGGGCCCCCAGCAGTCAAAGGGCCCCAGCAGTCAGAGACCCCTGGTTATCAGAGACTCCTGGCAATCAGAGGGCCCTGGCAGTCAGAGACTCCTAGCAGTCAGAGGGCCCTGGCAGTCAGAGGGCCCCCAGCAGTCGAAGGGCCCCAGCATTCAGAGATCCCTGGCAATCAGAGTCTGCTGGCAGTCAGAAGGCCCTGGCAGTCAGAGACTCCAGGGCACTGGCCCCACTGTCCCGGTCAGTAATCTGTCCTTGGGCATCAGGTTTGGGAAGCTGTTCACTGAAGCATGAGTAGATACGTTAGCTTTTTAAAAGATTGAATCACTAATTTTAACAATATAAAACGAGAGATTAAAGACAAATCAATAAAACTATTTTAATAGGCTCCTCACCAACAAAGTCACGTTTCAAAATAATTAAAATGACACTAGGAAATTGTAAATAAAACTGAAAAATGTTAGAGGTGTACATAATGATAATTTCAAAATGACTGAGAAAACATAATGTATTATTATGCACTTTATATTTATGGCAGACACACTAAAATTTTAAATTCACTGGAAATAAAAATACATTTTTGAACAAGTTCCCTCACTAATTAAATGATCACATTAACAACCTCACATATTTTATTAGTGTCTGAACTCAGATTAGACAACAGGCAAAAGTAGAATGAATAGTCTTCCTTCTTATGCTCAACACTGTTCCTCTACTTAGTGTTTCAGCTTCTCCGGTATGAATCAGTGATGTTCAACAGCCTCCTCCTCAAGACCAAACAAATCTTAGATAAAGACTGCCACCTACTGGAGATCAGATATGAGAATAATATACCAATTCACAACATAATGATTTTCATTTTAATTACTGAACTGTAAACTTTATAGTATTCTACATAAATGAAACTGAGACATTCAGGTTTCAAAACTATCAATACAGATTTCAGTGCAAAATAAAATTTTCTGCATTAGTGCACTGTTTTATGTTCTGGTTTTCTCCACACTACACACATCAGGAAGAGCTGGATAATTTACTAATACTGGTCAGGTACAGATGTGTTTGATTAAGAAAACAAAAAGAGTTCTTCAAAGGTGCAAACAATGCCACAATTCTGCTCTTCAAATGATTATCAAGCTGCAGGGCAGTGAAAACCAGAATCAGCACAACGTATGAGCAAATGTCTCTGCTTCTTCTCCTTTGGTTTCAAGTCCAACACTTATTCAGTCTTTCGTGATAGAAACAGTGTTAAATAAAACAAAAATAATCCTTATTTTTTCATGCTTCTTATCTCAATGTGAAAGTGTATAATGATACATACATATATACACCTCCTTGTTTCTATACTCATTGTCCATTTTATCAGCTCCACTGACCATATAGTTTCACTTTATAGTTCTACAGTTACAGAATGTAGTCCATCAGTTTCTCTGCATACTTTGTTACCCTATTCTTCAATGGTCAGGACCCCCACAGGACACGTTCTCAGCACTGCAGTGACACTGACATGGTCTTGGTGTGTTAGTGTGTGTTATGCTGGTACGAGTGGATCAGACGCTGCTGGAGTTTTAAACACTTCAGTGTCACTGCTGGACTGAGAACCAAAACCATCCAGCCAACAGCGTCCTGTGGGCAGCATCCAGTGACCACTGCTGAAGGACTAGAGGATCACCAACACAAACTGTGCAGCAGCAGATGAGCTATCGTCTCTGACTTTACATCTACAAGGTGGACTGACAAGGTAGGAGTGTCTAATAGAGTGGACAGTGAGTGGACACAGTGTTTACAAACTCCAGCAGCACTACTGTGTCTGATCCACTCAGACCAGCAAAACACACACCAACACACTACCACCACGTCAGTGTCACTGCAGTGCTGAGAATGATCCACCACCCAAATAGTACCTGCTCTGTGGGGGTCTTGACCATTGGAGAACAGGGTAACAAAGTATGCGGAGAAACAAAATGGACTACAGTCTGTAACTGTAGAATATGGTATATGGTCCTATATGGTCAGTGGAGCTGATCAAGTGGACAGTGAGAGTAGAAACAAGAAGCTACATGGTTGCAAACTGAAACAATGAACAACAAACAATGAACACGTAAACTTTGTCTACCATTCACAAATATTAACTTTGTCCCCTTGACCAAATTTAGAAGCGAGAAAAGTGATGCTTAAAATGAAGAGTGCTGTTTCTGAACCTTGAGTTGCTGTAGATCACTAATACACTTCTACAACAGTGGAGGACAGAAAGTTATCCTTGTGTTATCCAGAGTTCCTATCCGTCCAACCTGACTGTCGTCTCCACAATGTCTTTGGACCACAGATGATGTTAAGTCTTCTGTGCAGCACGTATTTTCTGATGGTATTTAGGGTGTGGTAACTGAGAGAAAGTCTTTCCACAATGAGAACACTGGTAAGGCTTTTCTCCAGTATGTACTCGTTGATGCGTTTTAAGGCTAGACAACTGAGAGAAGGTTTTCCCACACTGAGAACACCAGTAAGGCTTTACTTCTGTATGAGTTTGCTGATGCCTTTTAAGGCTAAACAACTGAGAGAAGGTTGTCCCACACTGAGGACACGAGTAAGGCTTTACTCCTGTATGTGTTCGCTGATGCGTTTTAAGGTGGGACAACTGAGAGAAGGTTTTCCCACACTGAGAACACCAGTAAGGCTTTTCTCCAGTATGTACTCGCTGATGCATTTTAAGGTTACAAGACTGAGAGAAGGTTTTCCCACACTGAGAACACCTGTAAGGCTTTACTCCTGTGTATAATGTCTGATGGGCTCTTAGACCATCTGACCAAGCAAAGGTCTTATCACACATGGAGCAATGGTAAGGCTTTTCTTTGGTATGGACGCTTTGATGGTTCCTAAGCACCAAAGCACATAAAAACTTATTCCCGCAAGTGGTGCACTGGTGAGGATTTTTTCTCATGTGAATTCTCTGATGCTTTCTAAGTCTTGTTGCAATCCCGAAGGACTTAGTACACTGAGAGCACTTGTGAGCCTTTTCTATGTGTCACTTGATGGGCTTTAAGGTCTGCCCTCTGTCTGTTGTGTTAATCATGTTTGTTTAAGTGTTGTGAAGATGAGGAAGATTTCTGAGGCTTTGCTCTTTGGCTCATCTCTTTCTTTTGAATCAGTTCTCCACTTATACATCTGTCCTCATTGCTGGGCAACAACTGGCTTGGCTCACCTGTAAAGAAAATAAGACAAGTAGGTTTTTTAAAAGTGTTGTTCATTAAATCAAGGGCTTAATCAGGCATGCATTTACCCAAATTAGTTTGACTTTATTATTTTGGCAGGATTCCGGAATGCTTTTTATATAATTGATGAAACTACAGATAAAATGTAATCAATAGAAGCAACATAAAAAGCTTTTTCTCCAGATTTTGACCGTTTTTCTCTCCTTATTACATATGTTAAGCCAGTCACTGCACTGCCCCTACTTTTTTTGGACTGCCCAAAATTACAATAAATAGTCCAAAATCAGCATTAAGCATGTTTGGCAGTAGTTTGCACTTACTAGTATGGACATGGTTGTCAGGGTTAATCATTTTCCTGCAGTCCACCAGCTTCACTGAACACATCTTTAACTGTGTCTGCTGGTCTCCACCGCTGAACACAGTGTTGGACATCTGCACGGGGTTTGCTTCATGCTCACACTGTAGAGATCCTTCCTCCAGCTCCTGTAGCGTTAGCTGCTTTTCATTTTCACAAACAGCTTCCTGGATCTCTGTGGTGGTCTGTCCATTAACATGAACAGTCAAACTGAGTCCATCCTCCAAACCCCCCATCAAGGACTGCTCTCTACCATTCTGCCCAGTAGAAATTCTTTGTTCTGAATTTGGTTCGTTTTTAAAAACAGCTAGCAAGCTGACTGCATCTAGTATTTGTAGCTCTATATCACTGTCTTCATGCTTCAGGCCTAAATCCTCATGTAAAAGCTGTAAAAGTCAAAGAAACATGTGTAAAGTCATTTATAGCTAAACTGCATCTAAATATAAAAAACTGCCATAAATTCATGAACAGGTCTACTAACAAACCAAATTTGTGTCTTTTCTTGAGCAAGATTCATGGGTCAGTCTGTGCCAACTTTCCTAGAGCCTGACAGATAATACCAAGGGATCCCAAAAAATGTAAATCAAGATAAATTTATGTCTAATTTGTAAAATGTAAAATTTGTGCTCTGTTATGAATTTTGAAAGATTTGTGAAGAATCTTTCTTCTTAATTCTGTCTTAAATATCGAATTTAACACCTTAAAGAATCACTGAACTGGATTAGTACTTGAACATAAATACACTTGGTAATACATTCCCACAGCAAGTTCACTTATTAAAGAATGTACCGTTTTTATGTCAGAGTTCTCAAGTCTTGTCTTCTGATACTCATAGCTCAAACTCAAGGTCTTTCCTGTAGTGACAATGTAGTCAATATTCAGCTCAGTTCAGGGCTGAACGATTTGGGGAGAATAATTTGCTGTGATTTTTCTCACCAATATTGTGATTGCGATTTAAATGCAATTATTTTCTATAAATTAATTAACAGGCCTGTTTTTTGCCCAAGAAGACCAGAATATCTGCTTTTTCTGGCATGAAGCTTCAATGCTGAGTTCAAAAGACTACCAGTTAGTTGTGATGGCACATATACAGCAATTGCTTCTGATTGGTCTAAGCCAGGGGTTGGCAATCCAAATGTCAAGAAGAGCCATTTTGCCCTTTTAATAAAAATCAAACCACTTTGGGAGCAACATTTTATGTCCATTTTACTGTCTTCGCTGTAAATATGTCTCAGTATGTGCTGATGTACTAATATAGGATAAAAAAATAATACAAACAAAAACACAGACTCACTTTGCTCTGCTTTAAGCTTTAGCTCAGCTGTAGCCACTTTTCTCACATCTCTGGCAGGAAATCTTTCCTCAAAGGTAGAACAGTTTCTTGTCTCTTAACGATCGACTTTTTACGAGGCTGAAGTCGCTTCTCATTCTCCAGCGTCTTGTTCAAATTTTCCTGTTCTACCTTAAATGGCGCCCGAATGTAACTGTTGTAGCATTTAAGGTGGAACGAGACAATTCAAACAAGAAGCTGACTTCAGCTTTAACATGATTAATGATTAAGATTGATTACAATATCAAAAACGATCTTTCAGCCCTTGCTCAGTTTAATCATTCTTAAAGCAATTAAACTTAAATTCAAACAACATATGTTTCTCCATGGTTATGTAATAAAATCATCATCCCTCTGAATACAACGGTTCTGCCTGTTACATCTGCAGTAAGTACTCAGAAAATTATTTTTCCAAGTTTTCAGATATTTTTATTATATTTAAATGTATTTATTTGAGTGAAATGCATTCAAATAAAAATATATTTTTAAATGCCTCCCAAAGGATTCCAAAGAGCAGAGAACGGTGCTTGCTTTGGTAGTATAATAGATGGGAGGAATCTGTGAGGAAGGAACGTGGAGAAACATTTTGAATGCCATTTATTTTGACTCAGGAAATTTTTGGCACTTTTGAATGGACTTTTGTGAAATGGGTATTTAGCAACCATACAAACACAGTAGCTACAAATACAATATAATATTTTATAGTATTTTAGAATGACTATATATAATGTTTTACAAAGCCATTTATAACTGTGAATAGTAAAATGCAGCTGAAGTACAGAACCCACGAGGTGCCCATGTTCTAACCCATCAAGCGGACCTACTGCATATGAGCATTTAATTAATTTAGTATAGTAAAATAGCTTTTCTAGAGTTTTACTGCATTTTAATGTTAATACAACATTCAAGTGTATTATACAGACAAGTTTAATGTTATTACTTATTCTCTGATAAATATGCCCAATATTTAGTCTATCAAAATATCCTACCTATAGCTTTAATGCTGGCAGTGTTTTCTGATACACTGATTTAGGTAATTGAAGTATCTCATATGTATGGTTTCATGTTGGGAGCTGCCTACAATATACGCTATGGTACAGCCATTTCAACATGGTAGGGCAATTCGCCATCGCTGACGACAGACTTTGTAGTTAATTTTTTGAGAAAAAGCCAGTAAAGCCGTATTTCTGTCCTTTACCATCATTTAAACTCATATAGTGTTGAGCAGAACTGAATTTGACTCGGCAACCTGCTGTACAACCTGCACCTCCATTTCACCTACATTCTGAACAGTAACAGTAGAGGGCGATGCCGAGTGACTGCTTCCCTAGAAGCACAAATTTAACAAAACCACCAACACTCTCTTTAAAACCGATAAATACTGGAAAAAGGTACATTTTGGAGGGAAAACCCAAAGCTGTTCCTTTAAAAGGGAACCTTTTGGCATAAAGACTGACCTGCCCTTCAAAAAGATCTGTACAGACAGAACTAACACTGACCTCTCTCTGAGACTCGCCCTGCTCCTTCCACTTTAATCTATCTTTTAACGTCACTACGTCGTCCTCAGCTGAGTCAGTTCGGTCTGGAGACCCTCCAGGTTTGAGATGTCCACCATGGAGAGGTCAGTGGCCACTGACTTAGTGCAGGACATCCCTGAAACTGGTTTAACACTCAAGTAATTAACAACTTACTTTAAGCATAACTTATTACACTCTTAAAAAAGATGGCGCTTCAAAGGTTCTTCAGTAAAAACAAAGATGTTCTATATAGAACCATGAACACTCAAAGAACCTTTTGTATGATTAAGGGGTCCTTTGCCTCACAAAAGGGTTTTTCAGAGTGATGAAAACATGCATGGATGTGCTATAGGCAGTCCTGTGTAGAACCTTTTGAAAAGGGTTCTATATAGCACTCAAAAGGGTTCTTATATTGTTAGACGCTTGACACTGTAACAATAGAAGAACCCGTTTGGTGCTATATAGGCTCTTCTATACAGAACTATCTACGGCACATTCTCCACCACTCTGAAGAACAATGTCATGATGCAAAGGACCCTTTTATCACGCAAAGGGTTCTTTAAGTGTTCGTGGTAGGACATTTCAACAAGGTAGGACAATTCGCCATCATTAACGACAGACTTTGTAGTCCATTGGTTATATATTGTAATATAGAACCATATTCTTTACTAAAGAATCCCTGAAGCACCATCTTTTTTAAGAGTATAGATAAACAAGACTGAATCCTTGTCTTTTAGTACCCTGCTAAAAAAGGACTATTATAACCATTAGATATACAACCTGATGGTTTTTGATTTCTAATGGGAACTGGCTTACTAGTTACCACATTAAACACTAGTTTTCTTTAGGAACGTCTTTAACCTCTTTTTCTCCAGGGTATATTTTGGTTTGTCCATCTAACCTTACAAGTCCAAATCGTAAAGTAAATTATTCAGTAACTGCATGAAATAAATGTACATTTTTACTGTACTTATTTATTTTTTAAAAGCTCCTCTCAAATTAATAGAATGTGCTTTATGATCACACATATTGCTATATGCTTACAATTTACTGCTGAAAGCCAAAAGCTTCTTTTATTATAAGGGTTTAAAATTACACCACCCATCTATTTGACTGGAAAGAAGACAATTACAGCTCTAATATGACACCCACCTTTCGAATGTAGCTTATGAAATATGAAAGTTATGAAGAATATGATGAAGTGTGTTTTGGAACCACTGGTGGTCTCAAGGAGTTGAAGAGGTTAAATCCCATTAGGAAACCATCAAGTGCACCTGGAACCAGACCCAGAACACCTGTTAAACTATTAGAGTTATTTACACTGCAATAACAACCTATCAGAGAAAAAACACCATTACTGACTATAAGACACCAGGAACTTTAATTGGTTTCTATGATTATACAAGCTAAAGAAACAAGATAAACCTACAGTATCAAACACTTATCATGGTTAATGTAAGCACAGTGATATTACAGTAAAACCATAGCCACTATAGGACAACTGTGTCTGTGGGAAAAGAATATTTAGCTACTTTAACCTCTTCAACTCCTTGAGACCACCGGTGGTTCCAAAACACACTTCGTCATATTCTTCATAACTTTCATATTTCATAAGCTACATTCAAAAGGTGGGTGTGATATTAGAGCTGTAACTGTCTTCTTTCCAGTCAAATAGATGGGTGGTGTAATTTTAAACCCTTATAATAAAAGAAGCTGAACTCAAATTTTTTTCTCTACTGAAAGTCAACCCATTTTTCCACAAATCTGGGCTATAAACTATGAACAGATGGCGTCTCTTCAGTGATCTGCTCTGTAAAAATTATTTTTATTAAAAAATATACAAAGAGCGTGTAAGATTTTTGGCTTTCAGTAGTAAATTGTAAGCATATATCGATATGTGTGATCATAAAACATGTTCTGTTAATTTGAGGGGAACTTTTATAAAAAAAAATAAATACATAAAAAAAATTACATTTATTTCATGCAGTTAATGAATAATTTGCCTTATGATTTGGTCATGTAAATTCAGATGGACAAACCAAAATACACCCTGGAGAATAAGAGGTTAGCTATAGAGCTAGTTAGCTAACTTTCCACCAGACTGCAGTCACACCGTTTTTCCTACCCACCAAAGTTAGCAGGCTAACTGACCTGACTGGCCTCGTTCACGGCTGCTCTGACTCTCCTGAGACTCGTTTAAAAGCCCCTCTTCTCTGTTTAAATGTGCAGTGAATCCATTTCTCTGGTTTCTGTCCATCCTCAAACCGGCAGTCCTCCTTCTCAGCTGCGAGTGAGCTAAATGCTAGTTAGTTAGCTGTAGCCCGTTTTCCAGTTCCCGCTTTGTGACGATGAGTCTGCTCGCCTTCTGATTGGCTCCTGAAAACGCGACGTTTCCATGGAGACGCGCTGTAAACAGAGCGAGGTAAACACCGTAAACCGAAAGTATTTTCTCTGAACTGTCCGTGATTTGCTCTCAAAGAGGAAAAAAACGGGCGGAAATTATAAATTAAACATTTATTAAACCAAATAATCCTTCCTACTGTATTAGAAATACACTGTTCCTGCTGAAAAAGGACCATTAGAAACTATTAGGATTAAAACCAAATAGTTTTGCTCTCTAATTGGCCATGGTTTCCAATACAGACCACTAGTTTCCTGTACAGCACCTTTAGATCTCATTAATAAACCATCAGATGCATTTAGAATCAGCCTTTGGTCTCCTGTTAAACCATTAGGATCCTTTACACTGCGATATCAACCCAATAAAAACGCCAAAACTCATACAAAACCATCAAGAACCAACAGAAACACTTAATGGTTTCAATTAAACTTTATCTACACAGACAAAACCAAAACTGACCTCTGCCTGGAACTCTAGCCGTTCTTTCCACTTTATTTTACCCCCTCCCCCTTGTGCAGTTAAGCTTCCTCACCTGACTCAAGACCCTGCAGGTTTGAGATGTCCACCGTGGAGAGGTCAGTGGCTGCAGGACATCTGTGAAGCTGCTTCTTACTGAGTTAATTAAATTTAAGGACATCAGTGGTCAGTCCACCTTTTCTAGTTTCATGACTGTCCAGCTCAGTGTGGGAGTCTGGACTGAAGAGCCAATACTTCAATCTATTAATCACCTGAGAAACGATCTCTGAAGGTTATTCTTTCTGAAGCTTAAATGAATGAACGACATCTGCTGGCAAATCTGTGGAAATGTATCGTCAAAACCCAAAACAAAAAACAAGAAAAACTCAATGATTACTGGTACAAATGTACACTTTATATTGTATTATATTTATTTTATTTCATTTATAGTCTTACAATAGACAAATATGAAATTGTCTAGAATAAGGAGGCCTTCCATATGCAAAAAATGTATTCCGAATATATTTATTAAATATTTTTTTGCAGTGTATCCCTGATAGCCAGAGGATAGTGGACCACAGTTGGCCCGCCGATGGCAAAGCTGGTGGTCCACCAGCGTTTTGTCAGCGTTTTCCGGGCAGCCCACTGGTAGTTAAACAGAGTATTAGACAAAATTCCACTTTTCATTTCTCATTTTCCATTTACAGTCCAGTTTACTGATATTTCCTTCTTTCCTTTCTTTAGATATACTTTGTAAATTTGTTTAGTAAATAATGTTAATTTAGCACAGTGTCAACAACATTTTCTATATAATTTTGTATTAGGCCTAGTCATTTTTTTCTCAGTTTATAATACTTGTCTTAGCCTTTTATTTTAGAAAAAATCTACGCTTGTTTAAAATCTGTTTGAGGAGGTTAAAAACTAGTTAGAGTTTGTATGCAGGGCAGTAATCTGGCAAACAGTCAGCAGGGTGCCGGCCTTATCAAGCCAGTGGACCCATATATGCTGCTATCTGGGGTATGAAAATGGCCCAAAATCCATCCATCATCTAAACCGCTTATCCTTCTGGGTCGCGGTGGGGTGCTGGAGCCTATCCCAGCTGTCATTGGGCGGAAGGCAGGATACACCCTGGACAGGTCGCCAGTCCATCGCAGGGCAGACAGACAGACATACACATTCACACCTAGGGGCAATTTAGCACATCCAATCAGCCTGACTGCATGTCTTTGGACTGTGGGAGGAAACCGGAGTACCCAGAGAAAACCCACGCAGACACGAGGAGAACATGCAAACTCCACACAGAAAGGACCCTGGTCACCCGGCCGGGAATCGAACTCAGGCCTTTCTTGCTGTGAGGCGACAGCGCTACCCACTGCGCCACCGTGTCGCCTGTATGGCCCAAAATGTATTTATTAGATATACTTTTAAAATACATGTATTAGTATTAGTTATTATCTGTGTTCAGTTGTGTGCAATAAAGGTTACAGATGTGTCTAAACGGTACTGACTACTGTGATCTGCACTGTCCTTTACATTAATCCTGCACGTCTGCAGTGAGACTCTCACACACAATTTCAAATAAACAAGATATCAGATCATAACTGTATTTTCACAGAGTATCAATACCTACATATATATTAGATATTGGAATATTTCTAAGATTTCATTTCTAAGGCCCAATCCCATTTCTTCTTTTTCCCAAAGATTAAATAAGCCTACAACAGTGTCAAAATCTAATACTGTACAAATAAGTTTAACATAAATAAAATTTGAAATATGGCCTCGAGCTGATAAGCAGAATTACAGCAAAACAACAGAAGCTGAAAGCAGCACACTGGAGCCACCTGTAGACTAAGAAATGACACAGATTTCAGTGTAAATATGCAGAGATTGAATAAAAAATAATAAAAAAATAAAATTCATTGCCATAGATAACCAACTGCTTTTGAGGACAGTAGATTCTGTTGACACATGCTGCACCTACAGTATAATGTACAGTATAAGAATGTTTTCTATTTATTTTCAGTTTCATGTCCTGTTGAAAGGCATCAACAAAAGTGTTATTTTCTCAGTATCTTATATTTATTCTCTTCATTCAGAAAAATAAATAAAAATGCAATTTAAAAAATCAATGTGTTTGGGTTTCAGTTTTTGTCCTGAATTTTGGCTTTGGACAAGATTTTTTATCTCATGGAGATGTATTGAGTTATATACATTCTCCCTAAAAATTGAGCAAGAACTGTTTAAACACATGCTACAAATTTACTTTTCCTTCTTTGTTTGGTATCTCTTAGGGGTGGGTATGGAGAACAGGTACTAAATTGGTATTGGTTCCTGACTGGTCAGTCTCAGAAAATCGATAAGCTCCTGGCCAAACAGTGCTGCTATCGGTATTTATATAATGTTATCCCTGGTAGTCAGAGACCATGAGCAGGCAGAGACCCTTGGCGGTCAGAAACCCCTGGCAATCGGAGACCCTTGGCAGTTAAAGGCCTCTGGCAGGCAAAGACTTTTGGTAGTAAGAGAACCCTGGCAGTCAGAGACCCCTGGCAATCAGAGACTCCTGGCAATCAGAGACCCCTGGCAGTTAGAGGCCTCTGGCAGGCATACACCCCCAGCCGTCAGAGAGCCCTGGCAGTCAAAGGGCCCCTGCAGTCAGAAACCCCTGACAATCAGAGACTTCTGGCAGTGAGAGGGCCCTGGCAATCAGAGACTCTTGGCAATCAGAGACTCCTGGCGGTCAGAGGGCCCTGGCAATCAGAGACTCCTGGCAGTCAGAGGCTCTGGGGCACTGGCAGGATCAGTTTTGGGAAGCTGTTCACTGAAGCATGAGTAGATATATTAACTTTTTAAAAGTTTGAATCATTAATTTTAACAATATAAAACGAGAGATTAAAGACAAATCAATAAAACTATTTTAATAGGCTCCTCCCAAACAACATTACAGGTTTCAAAATAATTAAAATGACACTAGGAAGTTGTAAATAAATCTGAAAAATCTTAGAGATGTACAAAATGATAATTTCAAAATGACTGAGAAAGCATGATGTATTATTATGTACTTTATATTTATGGCAGACACACTAAAATTTTAAATTAACTGGAAATAAAAATACATTTTTAAACAAGTTCCCTCACTAATTAAATGATCATATGAACAAAACACACATTAACAACCTTACACACTTTATCAAGTTATAACTTTTTATTAGATACACCTCCTTTTTTCTACACTCATTGTCCATTCTTTCAGCTCCACTGACCATTTAGTTTCACTCTGTAGTTCCACAGTTACAGACTGTAGTCCATTTGTTTCTCTGCATACTTTGTTACCCTGTTCTTCAATGGTCATGACGCCCACAGAGCAGGTATTATTTGGGTGGTGGATCATTCTCAGCACCGCAGTGACACTGACGTGGTGTTGTGTTAGTGTGAGTTGTGCTGAGTTTTTTAAACACCTCAGTGTTGCTGCTGGACTGAGAACCAAAAATATCCAGCCAACAGCATCCTGTGGGCAGCGTCCTGTGACCACTGATGAAGGACTAGAGGATGACCAACACAAACTGTGCAGCAGCAGATGAGCTATCGCCTCTGACTTCACATCTACAAGGTGGACCGAAAAGATAGGAATGTCTAATAGAGTGGACAGTGAGTGGACACAGTGTTTAAAAACTCCAGCATCACTGCTGTGTCTGATCCACTCAGACCAGCAAAACACACACTAACACACCACCACCACATCAGTGTCACTGCAGTGCTGAGAATGACCCACTACCCAAATAATACCTGCTCTGTGAGGGTCCATGGGGGTCCTGACCACTGAAGAACAAGGTAACAAAGATGCAGAGAAACAGATGGACTACAGTCTGTAACTGTAGAACTACAAAGTGCTCCTATATGGTCAGTGGAGTCGATAAAGTGGACAGTGAGAGTAGAAACAAGAAGCTACATGGTTACAAATTGAAACAAGGAACAACGAACAATGAACAGGTAAACCTTGTCTACCATTCACAAATATTAACTTTGTCCCCTTGACCAAATTTAGAAGCAAGAAAAGTGATGCTTAAAATGAAGAGTGCTGTTTCTGAACCTTGAGTTGCTATAGATCACTATTTTTTCTCGTGAACCTTGAGTTGCTGTAGATCACTAACACATTTCTTGTGAACATTACTCTTCTAATATAGACAACAGAGGACAGAAAGTTATCCTTGTGCTATCCAGAGTTACTGTCTGTCCAACCTGTCGTCTCCACAACGTTTTTGGACCCTGGATGATGTTAAGTCTTCTTCGCAGCATGTGTTTTCTGATGACATTTAAGGTGTGGTAACTGAGAGAAAGTCTTTCCACAATGAGAACACTGGTATGGCCTTTCTCCAGTATGTACTCGCTCATGCATTTTAAGGCTAGGCAACTGAGAGAAGATTTTCCCACATTGAGAACACCAGTAAGGCTTAACTCCTGTATGTGTTCGCTGATGCCTTTTAAGGCTAAACAACTGAGAGAAGGTTTTCCCACACTGAGAACACCAGTAAGGCTTTTCTCCAGTATGTACTCGCTGATGTGTTTTAAGGTTAAAAGCCAGAGAAAAGGCTGTCCCACACCGAGAACACTGGTAAGGCTTTACTCCTGTATGTGTTTGCTGATGTCTTTTAAGGCTAGACAACAGAGAGAAGGTTTTCCCACACTGAGAACACCAGTAAGGCTTTTCTCTAGTATGTACTCGCTGATGTCTTTTAAGGTTAAAAGACCGAGAGAAGGTTGTCCCACACTGAGAACACCAGTAAGGCTTTACTCCTGTATGTTTTTGCTGATGCCTTTTAAGGCTGGACAACTGAGAGAAGGTTTTCCCACACTGAGAACACGAGTAAGGCTTTTCTCCAGTATGTACTCGCTGATGCATTTTAAGGTTACAAGACTGATAGAAGGTTTTCCCACACTGAGAACACCTGTAAGGTTTTACTCCTGTATGTGTTCGCTGATGCTTTTTAAGGCTAGAAAAGTAAGAGAAGGCTTTCCCACACTGAGAACACTGGTAAGGCTTTACTCCTGTGTGTATTGTCTGATGGGCTCTGAGACCATCTGACCAAGCAAAGGTCTTATCACACTGGGAGCAGTGGTAAGGCTTTTCTTTTGTATGGACCCTTTGATGGTTCCTAAGCACCGAAGCACGTAAAAACGTCTTCCCGCAAGTGGTGCACTGGTGAGGCTTTTCTCTCATGTGTATTCTCTGATGCTTTCTAAGTCTTGTTGCAATCTCGAAGGACTTACTCCACTGAGAGCACTTGTGAGCCTTTTCTTTTATATGTGTCACTTGATGGGCTTTAAGGTCTGCTCTCTGTCTGTTGTGTTTACCATGTTTGTTTAAGTGTTGTGAAGATGAGGAAGATTTCTGAGGCTTTGCTCTTTGGCTCATCTCTTTCTTTTGAATCAGTTCTCCACTTATACATCTGTCCTCATTGCTCGGCAACAACTGGCTTGGCTCACCTGTAAAGAAAATAAGACAAGTAGGTTTTTTAAAAGTGTTGTTCATTAAATCAAGGGCTTAATCAGGCATGCATTTACCCAAATTAGTTTGATTTTATTATTTTGGCAGGATTCCGGAATGCTTTTTATATAATTGATGAAACTACAGATAAAATGTAGTCAATAGAAGCAACATAAAAAGCTTTTTCTCCAGATTTTGACCGTTTTTCTCTCCTTATTACATATGTTAAGCCAGTCACTGCACTGCCCCCACTTTTTTTTTCACTGCCCAAAATTACAATAAATAGTCCAAAATCAGCATTAAGCATGTTTGGCAGTAGTTTTCAAACTGCACTTACTAGTATGGACATGGTTGTCAGGGTTAATCATTTTCCTGCAGTCCACCAGCTTCACTGAACACATCTTTAACTGTGTCTGCTGGTCTCCACCGCTGAACACAGTGCTGGACATCTGCACAGGGTTTGCTTCATGCTCACACTGTAGAGATCCTTCCTCCAGCTCCTGTAGTGTTAGCTGCTTTTCATTTTCACAAACAGCTTCCTGGATCTCTATGGTGGTCTGTCCATTAACATGAACAGTCAATCTGAGTCCATCCTCCAAACCCCCTTTCAAGGACTGCTCTCTATCATTCTGCCCAGTAGAAATTCTTTGTTCTGAATTTGGTTCGTCTTTAAAAACAGCTAGCAAGCTGACTGCATCTAGTATTTGTAGCTCTATATCACTGTCTTCATGCTTCAGGCCTAAATCCTCATGTAAAAGCTGTAAAAGTCAAAGAAACATGTGCAAAGTCATTTATAGCTAAACTGCTTCTAAATATCAAAAACCGCCATAAATTCATGAACAGGTCTGCTGACAAACCAAATTTGTGTCTTTTTTGTGCAAGATTCATGGGTCAGTCATGCCAACTTTCCTAGAGCCTGACAGATTATATCAAGGATCCCAAAAAATGTAAAAAAAAAAATTAAAGTCAAGATAAATTTATGTCTAATTCATGCAAGCATGTAAAATTTGTACTCTGTTATGAATTTTGAAAGATTTTTGAAGAATCTTACTTCTTAATTCTGTCTTAAATATTGAATTTAACTCCTTAAAGAATCACTGAACTGGATTAGTACTTGAACATAAATACACTTGGTAATACATTCCCACAGCAGGTTCATTTATTAAAGGATGTACGGATTTTATGTCAGAGTTCTGAAGTGTTGTCCTCTGATACTCATCGCTCAAACTCAAGGTCTTTCCTGTAGCGACAGTGTAGTCAATATTAATGTTAATGATTTGGGGAGAATATCTTGCTGCGGTTTTTCTCACCAATATTGTGATTGCGATTTAAATGCAATTATTTTCTATAAATTAATTAACAGGCCTGTTTTTTGCCCAAGAAGACCAGAATATCTGCTTTTTCTGGCATGACGCTTGAATGCTGAGTTCAAAAGACTACCAGTTAGTTGTGATGGCACATATACAGCAATTGCTTCTGATTGGTCTAAGCCAGGGGTTGGCAACCCAAATGTCAAGAAGAGCCATTTTGCCCTTTTAATAAAAATCAAACCACTTTGGGAGCAACATTTTATGTCCATTTTATTGTCTTCGCTGTAAATATGTCTCAGTATGTGCTGATGTACTAATATAGGATAAAAAAAATAATACAAACAAAAACACAGACTCACTTTGCTCTGCTTTAAGCTTTAGCTCAGCTGTAGCCACTTTTCTCACATCTCTGGCAGGAAATCTTTCCTCAAAGGTAGAACAGTTTCTTGTCTCTTAACGATCGACTTTTTACGAGGCTGAAGTCGCTTCTCATTCTCCAGCTTATTGTTAGAATTTTCCTGTTCCACCTTAAATGGCGCCAGAATGTAACTGTTGTAGCATTTAAGGTGGAACGAGACAATTCAAACAAGAAGCTGACTTCAGCTTTAACATGATTAATGATTAAGATTGATTACAATATCAAAAACGATCTTTCAGCCCTTGCTCAGTTTAATCATTCTTAAAGCAATTAAACTTAAATTCAAACAACATATGTTTCTCCATGGTTATGTAATAAAATCATCATCCCTCTGAATACAATGGTTCTGCCTGTTACATCTGCAGTAAGTACTCAGAAAATTATTTTTCCAAGTTTTCAGATATTTTTATTATATTTAAATGTATTTATTTTAATGAAATGCATTCAAATAAAAATATATTTTTAAATGACTCCCAAAGGATTCGAAAGAGCAGAGAACGGTGCTTGCCGTGGTAGTATAATAGATGGGGGGAATCTGTGAGGAAGGAACATGGAGAAACATTTTGAATGCCATTTATTTTGACTCAGGAAATTTTTGGCACTTTTAAATGGATTTTTGTGAAATGGACGTTTAGCAACCATACAAACACAGTAGCTACAAATACAATATAATATTTTATAGTATTTTAGAATGACTATATATAATGTTTTATAAAGCCATTTATAACTGTGAATAGTAAAATGCAGCTGAAGTACAGAACCCATGAGGTGCCCATGTTCTAACCCATCAAGCGGACCTACTGCATATGAGCATTTCATTAATTTAGTATAGTAAAATAGCTTTTCTAGAGTTTTACTGCATTTTAATGTTAATACAACATTCAAGTGTATTATACAGACAAGTTTAATGTTATTACTTATTCTCTGATAAATATGCCGAAATTTTGTCTGTCCAAATATCCTACCTATAGCTTTAATGCTGGCAGCATTTTCTGATACACTGATTTAGGTAATCGAAGTATCCTATATATGGTTTCATGTTGGGAGCTGCCTACAATATACGCTACAGTATATCCATTTCAACAAGGTAGGGCAATTCGCCATCGCTGATGACAGACTTTGTAGTTAATTTTTTGAGAAAAAGCCAGTAACGCCGTATTTCTGTCCTTTACCATCATTTAAACTGTTATAGTGTTGAGTAGAACTGAATTTGACTCGGCAACCTGCTGTACAACCTGCACCTCCAATTAACCTACATTCTGAACACAAACAGTAGAAGGCGATGCCGACTGACCGCTTCCCTAGAAGCACAAATTTAACAAAACCACCAACACTCTCTTTAAAACCTTTAAATACTGGGAAAAGGTACATTTTGGAGGGAAAACCCAAAGCTGTTTCTTTAAAAGGGAACCTTTTGGCATAAAGACTGACCTGCCCTTCAAAAAGATCTGTACAGACAGAACTAACACTGACCTCTCTCTGAGACTCGCCCTGCTCCTTCCACTTTAATCTATCTTTTAACGTCACTAGTGTCCTCAGCTGAGTCAGTTCAGTCTGGAGACCCTCCAGGTTTGAGATGTCCACCATGGAGAGGTCAGTGGCCACTGACTTAGTGCAGGACATCCCTGAAACTGGTTTAACACTCAAGTAATTAACAACTTACTTTAAGCATAACTTATTACACTCTTAAAAAAGATGGAGCTTCAAGGGTTCTTCAGTAAAAACAAAGATGTTCTATATAGAACCATGAACACTCAAAGAACCTTTTGTATGATTAAGGGGTCCTTTGCCTCACAAAAGGGTTCTTCGGAGTGATGGAAAACATGCATGAATGTGCTATAGGCAGTCCTGTGTAGAACCTTTTCAAAAAGGGTTCTATATAGCACTCAAAAGGGTTTTTATATTGTTACAAGCTTGACACAGTAACTATAGAAGAACCTGTTTGGTGCTATATAGGCTCTTCTATACAGAACTATCTACAGCACATTCTCCACCACTCTGAAGAACAGTGTCATGATGCAAAGGACCCTTTTATCATGCAAAGGGTTCTTTAAGTGTTCGTGGTAGGACATTTCAACAAGGTAGGACAATTCGCCATCATTAACGGCAGACTTTGTAGTCCATTGGTTATATATTGTAATATAGAACCATATTCTTTACTAAAGAATCCCTGAAGCACCATCTTTTTTTAAGAGTGTACATAAACAAGACTGAATCCTTGTCTTTTAGTACCCTGCTAAAAATGATTTTATAACCATTAGATATACAACCTGTTGGTTTTTGATTTCTAATGGGAACTGGCTTACTAGTTACCACAGTAAACACTAGTTTTCTGTAGGAACGCCTTTAACCTCTTATTCTCCAGGGTATATTTTGGTTTGTCCATCTGACCTTACGTGACCAAATCGTAACGTAAATTATTCAGTAACTGCATTAAATAAATGTACATTTTTATTGTACTTATTTATTTTTTAAAAGCTCCCCTCAAATTAACAGAATGTGCTTTATTATCACACATATTGCTATATGCTTACAATTTACTGCTGAAAGCTAAAAGTTTCTTTTATTATAAGGGTTTAAAATTACATCACCCATCTATTTGACTGGAAAGAAGACAATTACAGCTCTAATATCACACCCACCTTTTGAATGTAGCTCATCAAATATGAAAGTTATGACGAATATGACGAAGTGTGTTTTGGAACCACTGGTGGTCTCAAGGAGCTGAAGAGGTTAAATCCCATTAGGAAACCAGCAAGTGCATCTGGAACCAGACCCAGAACACCTGTTAAACTATTAGAGTTATTTACACTTGAATAATAACCTATCAGGGAAAAAAACACCATTACTGACTATGAGACACCAAAAACCAAGAGAAACTTTAAATGGTTTCTATGATTATACAAGCTAAAGAAACAGGATAAACCTACAGTATCCAAACACTTATCATGGTTAATGTAAGCACAGTGATATTACAGTAAAACCATAGCCACTATAGAACAACTGTGTCTGTGGGACTGAAATTCAACCCATTTTTCCACAAATCTGGGCTATAAACTATAAACAGATGGCGTCTCTTCAGTGATCTGCTCTGTAAATTTTTTTTTTTAGAAAAAAATACAAAGAGCATCTAAAATTTTTGGCTTTCAGCAGTAAATTGTAAGTATATAGCGATATGTGTGATCATAAAACACATGTTCTGTTCATTTGAGTGATACTTTTACAAATAAATAAATAAATAAATAAATGAATAAACATTTATATGTATTTCATGCAGTTACTTAATAATTTGCCTTATGATTTTGTCATGTAAATTCAGATGGACAAACCAAAATATACCCTGGAGAATAAGAGGTTAGCTATAAAGCTAGTTAGCTAACTTTCCACCAGACTGCAGTCACACCGTTTTCCCTACCCACCAAAGTTAGCAGGCTAGCTGACCTGACTGGCCTCGTTCACGGCTGCTCTGACTCTCCTGAGACTCGTTTAAAAGCCCCTCTTCTCTGTTTAAATGTGCAGTGAATCCATTTCTCCGGTTTCTGTCCATCCTCAACCCAGCAGCCCTCCTTCTCAGCTGGGAGTGAGCTAAATGCTAGTTAGTTAGCTGTAGCCCGTTTTCCAGTTCCCGCTTTGTGACGATGAGTCTGCTCGCCTTCTGATTGGCTCCTGTAAACGCGCCGTTTCCATGGAGACGCGCTGTAAACAGAGCGAGGTAAATACCATAAACCGAAAGTATTTCATCTGAACTGTACGTGATTTGTCCGAATAAACGGGCGGAAATCGTAAATTAAACATTTATTAAACCTAATAATCCTTCCTACTGTATTAGAAATACACCGTCCCTGCTGAAAAAGGAGAAACTATTAAGATTAATACATAATGGCTTTGCTTTGTAATACGAATTGGCCATGGTTTCCAATACAAACCACTAGTTTCCTGTACAGCACCTTTAGATCTCATTAATAAACCATCAGATGCATTTAGAATCAGCCTTTGATCATCTGTTAAACCTTTATGATCCTTTACACTGCGATATCAACCCATTAAAAACGCCAAAACTCATACAAAACCATCAAAATCCAACAGAAACACTTGATGGTTTCAATTAAACTTTATCTACACAGACAAAACCAAAACTGACCTCTGCCTGGAACTCTAGCCGTTCTTTCCACTTTATTTTACCCCCCTCCCCCTTGTGCAGTTAAGCTTCCTCACCTGATTCAAGACCCTGCAGGTTTGAGATGTCCCCCGTGGAGAGGTCAGTGGCTGCAGGACATCTCTGAAGCTGCGTCTCACTGAGTTAATTAAAGGACATCAGTGATCATTTCACCTTTTCTGGTTTCATGACTGTCCAGCTCGATGTGGGAGTCTGGACTGAAGAGCCAATACTTCAATCTATTAATCACCTGAGAAACGATCTCTGAAGGTTATTCTTTCTGAAGCTTAATTGAACGAATGAATGGCGACATCTGCTGGCGAATCCGTGGAAATGCATCATCAAAACCCAAAACAAAAAACAAGAAAAACACAATGATTACTGGTACAAATGTATACTTTATATTGTAATATATTAATTTTATTTCATTTATAGTCTTACAATAGACAGATATGAAATTGTCTAGAATAAGGAGGCCTTCCATATGCAAAAATGTATTCTGAATATATTTATTAAATATTTTTTTGCAGTGTATCCTTGATAGCAAGAGGATGGTGGGCCACAGTTGGCCTGCTGATGGCAAAGCTGGTGGTCCACTGGCATTTTGTCAGCGTTTTCCGGCAGCCCACCGGTAGTTAAATAAAGTATTAGACAAAATTCCCCTTTTCATTGCCCATTTTCCACTCACAGTCCAGTTTACTGATATTTCCTTCCTTCCTTTCTTTAGATATACTTTGTAAATTTGTTTAGTAAATAATGTTAATCTAGCACAGTGTCAACAACATTTTCTATATAATTTTGTATTAGGCCTAGTCATTTTTTTCTCAGTTTATAATACTTGTCTTAGCCTTTTATTTTAGAAAAAACTACGCTTGTTTAAGATCTGTTTGGGGAGGTTAAAAACTAGTTACAGTTTGTATGCAGGGCAGTAATCTGGCAAACAGTCAGCAGGGTGTCGACCTTATCAAGCCAGTGGACCCATATATGCTGCTATCTGGGGTATGAAAATGGCCCAAGAATGTATTTGTTAAATATACTTTTAAAATACATGTATTAGTCCTAGTTATTATCTGTGTTTAGTTGTGTGTAATGAAGGTTACAGATGTATCTAAACGGTACTGACTTCTGTGATCTGCACTGTCCTTTACATTAATCCTGTACATCTGCAGTGCAGACTCTCACACACAATGTATTTCAAATAAACAAGATATCAGATCATAACTGCATTTTCACAGAGTATCAATACCTGCATATATATGTATATATATATATGTATATATATATATATATATATATATATACACATATATATATTAGGGGTGGGAATCTTTAGGCACCTCACGATTCGATTCGATTACGATTCAGAGGGCTGCGATGCAATTATAAAACGATTATCGATGCATCTTTTTTCTCTATACAGGATTTCTATCTTCCTACTGTCTAAAAACTTGGTAGTTTTAAAGCAAAGTATTTGTAATGATCCACAATGTAAATGCATGACGAATCACTACAAATACTTTGCTTTAAATATCTAAAATATCTTTTATTAATAAATCAAATGGAAGTGATGTGGCAAGTGAACTAGAAGGCTCTCATTCAGAGATGCTGCTGCCACTCATCTGTGATAAAATGCGCTGTTACCCTGAAATAAGACCCAGTGGTAATGGGTGTCGGGTGTCCACGCTGCGCGTTACAGCCATCCTTCCCGTTTTCTTTAGTGATCTTATAACTTCGGTTTTGGTCTCGTTGTAGAGAGTGTGTGTGTGTGTGTGTGTGTGTGTGTGTGTGTGTGGGGGGGGGGGTGTTTTCGAGACTGGACGCTGAATCTCGGCTCCAAAGTGTGCAGCATAGCGCAAAAGCCCTGGTTCTCAACGACCGAGAACAGACAGCAGACAGCAGGTCACATAGCCCCGAAGTCTGGCCTCGCCAGTAGCGAACGAAAAAACAGAGATTAAAACGAACAATTGGAGGACTTATTCGCATTTATAAGCAGCGCGGTTGGTTAAATCTTTAATGAGAGACTGTCTTTCTCTAAAAAGTTGCGAAAATGAACTCGCTTCTCTTTCGAATTTTCCCGTTCCACCTTAAATAGTGCAGCAGTTACATTCGGCGCCTAAGGCAGAATTTAAGGTGGAACGGGAAAATCAGAACAAAAAGCTGGCAAATGAGAAGCGACTTCAGCCTCGTAAAACAGCCGGATGCTGAGACATTTTACAAGAAACTGATCTAGTTTTCGAAGAAAAGTTTCCTGAGAGAGATGGAAGGAAAGCGGCTGTAGCTGAAGCTTAAAGCAGAGCGAAGTAAATCTGCGCTCTCGTTTATATTTTTAGCCAATACTACAACATTAACACATACTGAGACATACTGGACGTTAAATGTTGTGGCTCCCAAGGTGGTTCGATTTTTGTAAAATGGCTCTTCTTAACATTTGTGTTGTGACTCCTGATCTAACCTGGCTTTAATGCAG